CATTAAAAATGTGCCCTTTTGAAAATGTGAAGTACATCTAAACTCAAAAACTGCATACAAAATATAAATGCTACAGCAACTGCATGCAAAAATGTAACTATTTGAAAATATTTCATTCAGTTTTTAAACAAATATAGATTGATGTAACCTAGCTTGTGTGACAAATTAGATTTATAATTCTATAGTTGTAAAACTGTCATAAACCAAAAATCATCTAAATATAGCCTTTAATCCAGTGATATGTGAAAATATATTTCAGTTTTTAAAGTAATGTATGTCTAAAATAATTATGTCATGTCAAACACCAGGAAACAGTTTTGTTAATGAAAATTATAAAGCATATTGTTTCAATTTTTCCAAAAAAATGTACTTTTTCCTTCTAATCTAAGGGTTTAGTCTGTAGTTTAGTGGGTTCATGGGATGTCCATCATATTAAAAAATAGCAGATGAATAATTATTTGCAATCGTATAAATATAAATTCAGTTTTGTAAAAAAAGTGAGCGTTTCTATAATAAAAACAAAAAATGAGGAGAATTAAGCCTTGAAGATATGGAACATTAATCTGTTTATTTAATAAAGGAATATTAAAAACAAGGTACAATAAAAATAATATAATTGCGAAAATGATACAGCAGACTGATCATATTATTTCATTACTTCTCTCTCATTCACATACTGTTTATTATGCCTTGCATAGCAATGATCTGCAAATAACAAATTGGGAACTATTGTTCCTAATTATTACTTTTCACAGAGCTATTCAAATTTCAACCATTTTTTCATTATTTGAATCAAAATAATTTTACACACACACATATATACATACATATACATATAGTTGTTAGGTGATGCTAATTTAACAAGATATGAGAATCATTGTGAGCTGAGTGATATACAATTTTAATAAATTAGTATTATGGTTGTTTTCACAATCAGTCAGATGTTTAGACTGGATGTGGCATGTTTGTCCACCTATCAAGTCCTTCTCAAGAATAGGCAGTTGTTTGATAATGTTAACAATGTTGTCGCATGATGTAAGCTGTTCCAAGTACAGCTGCCTTTTTCAATTGACTGGTGGTGATTTTGTAAAAAGTAGCTTTACTTAGAACAGTTTACTTGCTGTGAAGAATTGTTCTTGTAGGAAGCTTTATTTCTCAGAATTGTTTCATTTCCATTTTACGCATCAAGACATAGAGTGTAAAGGAAGTGTTTGTATTAGAAACTAAATTAACCTTTGCTTTCCTTCTCTCTCTCACACACAAACACATGCACATACATACTCATGTTTTGCCTCTCTTAGGATTTACTTGCATGTTCTGAAAATGTGAAAATGATAAGCCACATCCTGTACCTTTATCTGAGAGCCAAATGCGGCTCAACTCAATCTGTTTAATACATAATTCACGTTCATATACATTTTATCTTTGCATATACTACAAGGAAACAGGAAATGTGCAGTTCAAAATGTTAAAGCAGAATACATTTTATTAAGAGCTAAAGCAATAAATTAAATCCACTTCTGAACTGAGGATTTTCCCCCCTGAATTGTTCCAGACTGTTTATTTAGTAAGATGCTGGGTTTTATTGGTTTCTCGGAGGATTATTATTAATAAAAGGTAAATTTTAATGAAATGGTAACATTTCCACATAGCTAATCTATAAAAGATGAAATGCCCTATTTTTATAAGTTTATATTAAAGTCATTTTATATTCTGTTTTATCAGAAGAAAATTAGCTTGGAGACTTTGCATAAAAGGACAGTCGTGACAAGGTGGTTGTTTTCTCCCTGTGCATCCACTTCCCTGTGCATCCACTTTCCTGTGCATCCACTTCCAGCATCATAAACTTATACAGCAGATATGTGTCACTGAATAAAATTTGAACCTGCTTTTAATAAGCTACCTTTATTTTATCCTTTCTTTTCCAGAATCTTAATCTTTAAAAGGCTATTTATATTATTATGCTTTGTACAGTGCAGCACTCCAAATCAAGTATCTATTACAAATTACTGTCTAGTATCCACTTAAACATACACTGTGAAGGAAAGCCAACATCTCTTTGGGCAGCTTTTTTCTTTTCTTAACTGTTCTTATTTTGGGGGGAATTTGTGTTTATGTCTTAAAAAATAAATATTATTCTCTACGTTGACATTCTTCATTTGTATGTTTTGAAACTCAGCCCACTCTAGAGCTAAGTATTCTCAGGCCCATGTTTCTCTTCATGGGATTTTATTTGTAGTTCTCTGCTTTCATTGTTGACTTATTTTTCTGAATAGCAACTATAGCTTTTATTTATTCTTTTATGAGCTTTCACCCATATGCATCCCATAATAAAGTACATTTATTCTTTTAGATTTCTAATCATATTCCTTCCTTTTTTCCTGTTTCTTCTGTTCTTTGTGAATAAACAGTAAATTACTATCTTCCTTTGGAATTCGTCTCAATTTTGCCTATTACATAAAAGATCTTCTTGTACTAAGTCTTATTATAGAACTTTAAATTCTATCTTGTTTATTTTTCATAGCATTTTTATGAACTAAGTATCTAGGGGTGGTCATCCATGCCACTGGCTCAAGAAAAGCACATGGTTAATATGCGGCTGCCTCTGGCCAAAGATCAGCAAACACCATTCTCAAATTTTTCAGCACAAAGGGGGGATACTATGTTCCTGTTGCCATTAAGCTCTTTCTGGCCAAGTCATTAGCACAGCTTCTTTACAGGACCTTGTTCAATCCAAATTTATTAGATCAATTCTCCAGATGCTGTGTTGTGTCTCAAATGCACTTCTGTGCCTGGAGACAGCATTGATAAAAGTCAAAGCAAGAATCTCTATAGCTTCTTTAAATCTTTGGCTAAAGCTTAATTTATTTCCGCAAGGCCTTGCTCCATTAATCCTTGATTAATGATCCTTGATCTTCATGGATCAAGGCTGTTGAGTTCAACCTTGCCAAACGAGGCTTCTCTCCAGCCTCACTACTTAAGTTGGAGTACGACCAAGCAAAACAAACATTGTGACAAAGGGTCAAGGACATCGAGAGGCAAGCAGATTTAGGGAAAGCTCCATTTTTTTGGCTCCAGGCTATATTACATACGTTGTAACTTCTGCCAGTTATCTTACCCAGTTGGAGAAGGCAAACTACTGGAAAGCATTTTCGCTTACATGGTGCCATGCACTTCCATCAGCCATCCTGCATGGCAAGTAGAAAAAGATACCATTGACTGAAAGATTCTGCTCTTGTGGCTCAGAAGAGGTGGAGACCATTGGATACATACTCCTTTGATGCTCTTTATATAGAAATATTTAAAAAAACACATCCACCCAAAAATCGATAGGTATCCTGGTTGTTCTGTCACTGCTTATCTCTAGTGGTTGCTTAAGAACAAACAGACTGTGGTTACAGTGCAAGTGGCTAGATTCTGCACTGCAAAACTGGGGTTTCAGAAACAAATGATTAATTCACCATAGCTATTTTACACAACCAATGTAGCAAACTCTTTTGCATCTTTTGTTTTTATTTGTTCTGATCTTTGACTAATAAACTTGATTTGATTTGATTTATTTAATTATGAACTAATCATAATAATGATTGTATAGTGAATTGTTCAGTAGGCCAATTTCAGCTCTATCTAACAATATGTTTATTTTATTTATTATTACGTTTATTTGCTACCCATCTTGTTTAGAAGCAACTCTGGGAAGCATGTAGCTTTAAAATAATAAAATATAAATATTTTAAAAATGGTAAAAAATGGAAATTACAAAGAAAAATAAAATTATAGTTAAAAGATGTGGAGAGAAGGAACAGGATGCAGGGGAGAAGTGGGATTGCCTCTTAATTAATTCATCAACTTCTCCAGTGTGATGCTCTCTCATTGGGACCCCAAGCAATCTGGTAGAACTCCATCTTCAAGCCCTTACAGAAAGTCCAGAAAGATGGAGCCGATGTTACCTCAAGGGGTAAGATGTTCCAAAGGGCAGCTGCCATGGCAGAGAAAGCCCTTCTCCTATATCCCATCAGCCAGAATTCCTTGACTGACAGGACCCACAGCTTTGTCTGAGGTCCATATTTTAGATTCTTAAAAAATTTCCAACTATTTTTTCTCCTTTTCTGTTTTACTTTCTAAACTGAAGGATGGAAACCACCAATAAAACCCCAGAGTTTACTTACCTTCTTCAGGAAACATGTTTTAGCCTTTGCAGTTTCCCCATAGGAATTAAAAGACAGGCATATTTGTCAGTAGATTTTATAAGTCTTGCATTATTTCTTAATCTTTGAAGTCTCAATATTCTCTGCCCTTTGTGTATTCCTTGCTGCTTCTGCAATTTCTCTCTTTTTTCTTCCCTTGAGGGCTCATAATTTATTTTTTTTGTAAGCTCCTGAAAGGTCATCTATCAATGCAGAATAATTTATGATTTCTTGAATTTATAAATGGCAACAATTTATAATTGTTATTGGTAGTCAATTGGTATTTGTTTAACAAATTTATAACAGAATAACAGAGTTGGAAGATACCTTGGAGCTCTTCTTGTCCAACCCCCTGCTCTGGCAAGAAACTCTATACCATTTCAGACAAATGGTTGTCCAATCTCTTCTTAAAAACCTCCAGCACTGGAGCACTCACAACTTATATATGACTTTTTCTTCATCTGAACTCATCAGCAAATTTGTTTGTTTCACAATTTTAAAATGTTAGAATAAAAACTATGAAGGTTTGTCATCCCCAAAGTTTACACTAAACAGAGGTATGGTTGCAGATCAAAAACTCAGATATGTGTATATTGGATATGTTTAGTGATGTGTTTCTGTGAAAAATTAAATGTATAGGTTGTATTCATAAGAAAGGATATCTGTAAAGTTGTAGTAGCTGATTATGGATGGTTTCAAATCATGCTTTTTAAAGGATCATCGACCTTTGGTGAAGTAATATCTGTGTTTATTTGTAGGATGTTATGTGTAATAAATCTGGATTTTCTCTCTTTCTGTATTCTTTTGTATCAGTATTACGAGATGATTTCCGTCAAAATCCTACAGATGTTGTTGTGGCAGCAGGTGAACCAGCTATCTTAGAGTGCCAACCTCCTCGAGGACATCCTGAACCCACTATCTACTGGAAAAAAGACAAACTCCGAATAGATGATAGAGAAGAGAGAATAAGTGTAAGTAGATCATACAATGCTAAATCTATATGAATTACTAAAGAACAAATCTAACTATGAATTTTAAAGACAATTGTTGAAATAAATGGCTTTTCATGCAATATACAAATATATCATAAAGCAACTAGAAATTCTAAAATTTGCTTCATAAAATAAAAATAGCAAAGAATATGTATGCAAATTTATAGAAATAATTACTGTAATTACCACTATATAAACAGAATAGTAGGCTTGGTGAAGCAATGTACCTTCATTCAGTAAGTTATTTGACTGATAGAAGTGATGTGTTTTCCTTCATTGAAATGAATAGACCTTTGATGGAACAAAGTACTGCATGAGAAAACTTGCTCTTAGTCTTTTTCCCCAAGTTCATCCCAAATGTTTTTCACATTAGACAGCTTTGGGTTCCTATAGCATGCACCAAGGTAGCTCCAAGCTGGATAAGTGCAGCAGATACTGCAGGATTGCACACAGTACATGATGGAAAACCATCCATATATGCCAAAGACTCCAACAAGTTGACTTTAGGCATAGTGTGGGATTCCTCTGCATCACTGATCAACTGGTAGTGCTATTAACACACCACTTACCTCTTGAAGGTTGACAGAATGTTCATAGATTGGAAGCAAATGACAGGTATGAAACATAGAGAAAACTCCAGGTTGTATGGCTGATATTTAGATGTTGCCCATTCTCTGCTCTTATCTATAAAAATTGTGAAGACAGTTGTGAAGACTGTTAACCCAGTCCTTTGATAAAGGAAAGACTTCTTGCTTCATTGTGCTTGCCATCTTTTATCTGCACAGTGGCGCAGTGGTTAAATGCAGCACTGCAGGCTACTTCAGCTGACTGCAGTTCGGCTGTTCAAATCTCACCGGCTCAGGGTTGACTCAGCCTTCCATCCTTCCGAGGTGGGTAAAATGAGGACCCAGATTGTTGTTGGGGGCAATATGCTGACTCTGTAAACCGCTTAGAGAGGGCTGAAAGCCCTATGAAGAGGTATATAAGTCTAACTGCTATTGCTATTGCTATTGCTAATTGGGTTTTTTGTTTGATTGTTATGAGCCACCCAGAGTGGTTGAGATTCAAGAAGCATATACTGTAAGTTTAAGAAATTATTGATATTTTGGTTGATTGCATTGTCAGCCAGATGCTTAGACTGAAATTCGCATTTTTATCCACCTATCGAGTCCTCCCCAAAGACTTAGGATAAGCAGATAGTGATATTTTATGGTGTTAGAGCTATCATCACCGGTTGCTATTATTATTTTCATTGTTATCTGTTTACAACTATGTCATGTCAAAGCTGCCAGTTCTTTAGCTGGTGTTGGCCTTCATATTCATTGTTCTACCGAAGAACCTAGGGTGACATAACGTATCAGCATAGCAAATGTGCAGAGCCAAGCAGTGTGGTCTTTTCTGAAAATTTTGTCAATGTACAGATTTTTCTAAGTGCTAAAAGTTTTTGGTATGACACCAAGTATGCCCATAATTACTGGGACCACCACAGTCAGTTTACGCTATAAATTTTCAGTTTCACTTTTCTCATCTTCATGTTTACTTTTTGTCTCTTATTCTGTCATTCCCCTGATAATGCCACATCAATTACTGTGTTTTTTGGAGTATAAGACACACCTTTTCCCTCAAAAAAGAGGGTGGAAATCTGGGTGCATCTTATGCACTGAATACAGCATTTTTGGCCTACTGAAACCCACCCCTTTTGCAAAAATGGACGTGCAGAGGGTTTGAGAGACTTGCAAAGTGCTCCTGGGGGCTGGGGAGAGCAAAAATGAGCAAAAAATGGGCCAGCCCCCAGGAGCACTCTACAAGCTTCCCAAAGCTCTGCATAATTTTTTTTTTTTGGCAAAAAATGAGGCGTGCAGAGGGTTTGGGAGGCATGCAGAGTGCAAAAACCTTTTTTTAAAAAAAATATCTCTTCAAAATCATGATGCGTCTTATAGTCCGAAAAATATGGTATCCACATTTCTTTGTTTCCAACAACAGTTATTTCTAGTTTCAATGTTATTTGAAAGTCCCACAATGTTTTAACCTGATCATTTTCAACTATTTTTTCAACCATACATTCCTATCAATGATGATAATGATGATGGTTCATCATACAGTCAGCCAGATTCCAGACTCGCATTTGTGTTTGCCTATTGAGTTCTTTCCAAGAACCAAATATAAGCAATATAGAGTTATATTGTTGCAGGATATTTCTCTCAATCTCTAGGATAAACCAGAGCAATCAACTGTGTGTATGTATGTATGTATGTATGTATGTATGTATGTATGTATGTATGTATGTATGTATGTATGTATGTATGTATGTATGTATGTATATGGACAGACAGACAGATGGACAGATAAATAAATGACAGTTTAGTTTAGTGATTAATGCTTTATTTCCAGACTGTGGAGTCTAGTCCCATTAAAGCTGGCTGGCTTTGATTTAGTCACTGTCAGCCCATGACATTGGGTTCAGGTAACAAGTCATTCCTATTGCAATCAATGCATCAACACCTGGTCAGATGTTCAGAATGGATTTGATGTTTTTGTTCACCTATTGAGTCTTTCCCAGGAATTTGGGATAGGCAGATATGGATGTTTGATATAAATTATTCCAAGTAAAGGTCCCTTTTGCAATTGACTGATGGTGAATTTGAATGATGTTCAAGTGGTGCTCCAGTTGATTTGGGATTGCACCTAACTAAGGCATATATTACTATTGGTATTACTACATTTTTCTTTCTTTTGCCACAGTTGTTCTATTTCTATTTGCAGGTCTTTGTAGTTTGTCGTTTTCTCCAGTTCTTTATCTTCTTTTCTGCTGTCTCTTTGTCTTTCTTATCAGTGATTTTTAAGCCTGGCAAGTTATGCAGCAGGTTTAAATTCTAAAGTCCTAGAGCACTTTTTAAACCATGTGTTCATTGTACAGTCAGCCAGATGTTTATACTGAATGTGGTACTTTTACCCACTTGTCATGATTATTGTTCCTTCAAATGCACAGTCGTCTATATTTAAATGAAAGTAAAATTAAGCACTATTGCTATTCCTTTCTAGGTATCCCAGGGAAAATTTCACAGTGCATAACAAGTTATCTTTTTAATTTTTTTTATAATAGATACGAAGTGGAAAGCTCATGATTTCAAATACAAGAAAAAGTGATGCTGGAATGTATACATGTGTCGGCACAAATATGGTGGGAGAACGGGATAGTGATCCTGCAGAACTTACTGTTTTTGGTAAAGAAATTCTAAAATACATTCATGTTTCTGTCAGCTGACCCAGTCAATGTTATTTGGAAGTTTTGTTAAATAACAAGTGTACTGAAATTCTTTTTTTAAATAGCTTTTTGCCTTTGCCATGACAGCAAGAGTTCTAGATTTATGGCTAGATTTATTAATATAAATATGCCATTATTAAACTCTTATATTTTGCTCTTATATTTTTCTCTTAGGTTACTTAGGTAATTCAAACATGTTACACTGGTGTTGAAACATAATAAAGATATTATTAGTACGTCAATTACTTTGTGCAAACTATTTCCCACAATGTCTAATGATAAACATCTATGAATTAATTTTTAAAATATAAAAACACAGAAATTAAACATAAATGATATTTTCAATTGACTGCTTATATTGGTTCCTGTTAGAAAATTATCAAATGAATTTGATAAAGTATTACCCCAGCTGACAGAAATTTCAAATTCTATTGTTTATTAATATTAGTTGTACTGTACTGTACTTTATTCCATTCCTTTCCATTCTATTCTATTCTTCCCATGACTGATAGAAAAAAATATTTGTAACACTACAGGAAACTGAATAAGATTATACTGTCTATACTAAGTTTAAAAAATGTCTGTCTGAAATAACTAAGTGGTATGATCATTTTTCTTTAGGCAGTTTATATCGCTTTCAATTCCTTGTTTTAGAAAACTATTCCTATAAATAATGACCATTTTCTAAAAATAACATTGATAACAAAATTAAGGTTATCTGGATACAGAACAGATACAGAACAAAGCTACTCAATAAAATTTACTGGAAATGCATAGAAAATTCTAATGAATTAGAAGAAAGTGAAGCTGTTGCATCTGAAATGTATAAGTTATTTTCTTACCTGCTGGCTTCTAGACATTTGCAGAATGTATTCCTTTGTTTTGGTTTTAAAATGTTTTCTACCAGTATCTAAAATTAATTCTAGCATATCACTTGGAACTGGTATCTAGGTCACCATACAAGGAATTATGCTTGAGGCATAGCCTCTGGTAAAAATGGGTAACAGAAAGTAAAACATTATCAGGAGCTCAGTGAATATACTGTATGCAGGAGGACCAAAATTACAATCATGTATGAAGAAGTTTTCATAAATAGGTTTGGCATACTTTAAATAATCATAGATAGTTATCTAACTGGGTAAATTAAAATATATTGCTTTCATCCACATAGGCATCAGGAAGGGCATCTGGCCAGCTCCATCCAGCGTACCTCGACTCTACCCAAAATTAAGAGATTACCGTGTCATAAAAAGAGTTACTGATATAATCATTGCAAGTTAATATTGAAAGGAAATTGCATACATTTTCCTGCATGTTAACAAGAAGCATTTCCATTCTCAGTTCTACTGACATAATTATTACTATAGTTGGTGTTTAGATTTAATCAACATAAACTCATTAAAATCAATGTTGTTGAGCAATTTTGTTGCTCAAAGGATGGCTAAATCTAGAGTCCAAACATGTTGTGTAGATATTCATAATATTTTGTAGTGTTTGCTTTAGAGATAAAAAGTTTTGAATTTTTCAGATTTTTTATAGCTTAAAGAAAATATGTGCATTTAACTACATATGTTGTCTTTCATTCAAAACATATAATTTATATCATATTTGCTTTTATTCACAAATAATATTATATTAAATTCTTTAACCTTAAGTTCTTAAACTTGCCATATTTTAAAAGGAATGATTGAGTACATGAAACATCTTCTGCCATATTTATCTCCTCAGCATGCAAGATATTGCCATATTTTACTCAAGTATATGCAATTAGATATTCTGATCTGTGATTTTGTACTATGTATATTTTTGTTTCTATATAACAACATTCACCCACAGCATCCACACATTCACCCAAAAGATTATTTCAGCTTTCAGAAGAAACGTTTTTGTGTCCAAGGGAGTTTAGTGTAAGGAAGGCCTGGTTAGGTTTAGGGAGAAACTAACAAATAATAAATGCCCCATGTATCAGAGTGAAATTATATCATTCTGCATACTGGAACAAAGCAAAGCATAAATAATAGATGACTTTAAGCTTCATTTGATAAAAAGATAAAAATCCATAGTCATTTGCTTAGATCCTGTTCATTAAACATTGACAGTTCAGTTTATTTGTAATTTGACTCTTTTCTTTTATTTAACTTACATGGGAAAGTATCAGCTATTCAAATTAATGAGAAAGAATTAAGTAATTAAATAAACAAAATAAATAATGATTCTTCATCTTCAAAAGTGAAATAAATATTATTGGCTTAGCAATTTTTGACAAATGTTGTATGTTGTATTCAATGCTGTACATACTGTATGTATTCTCTTGTGATTGTCAGGTGCCATTAATACCCTAAACTTTGGTATATAGGTACTCCTCAACTTATAACTAGTTGCTTAGTGACTATATGAAGTTGCAGTAGATAGCCCCAAAGCTATTTATGAATCAGTCCCAAAGTTATGACCATTGCATGGCTCCACAGTTGCTTGCCCTTATGACCAACTGCTGGGATGTTGCAGTGCCCCCACACATTTATCAACCATACCAGGAAGAGAAGAGATGAGGCTCTCATAAGACAAGCGATTATGTGGGCATTTCACGTAATGGCTATCATGACTTCCAATCCTAATGGGCAGGCTCCGTTACAATTGTAATCAAGGATGGCCTATATATATTAATCAAGTATCTGAGAAAAATTGATATGAAGCTTATTTATAACAAGCCAGAATCCATATGACTGACAAAATGATCTCTTCTGATCTCTTTTATATGTATTACTTCTCTAAGACTTGTATTATTTGACATAGAAACATTTTGGGAGATAGTAAGATATAATTATTCATCTGTAATCTTAAAAAATGCTTTATTTAATATAGACTATACATCATTTTAATTTGCATGCTGAATCTTCTTGATAAAATTATTAATGTAATGATGCCACTCAAATTTATGGACACATTATTTATTTATATATAATATATAATATATAATATATATTATATATTATATATTATATATTATATATTATATATTATATATTATATATTATATATTATATAAAACTTTTCAGCCTTTTTTGAAATTAGCATTATGGATATACCAGAGAATTTCGTCCTTTTATCCAACGAGGGACTAACATTGTAAAAATATTGTGCATTTGATTTAAATCCAGTTGATATTATTGCCTATGCATGTACAATATGTGCTTTTCAACACAAGTCCCTTCAGTTTTCTTGGCAAGATTTTCAGAAATGTTTTACATTGCCTTCTTCTGAGAGTTGAGTGGCCAAAGTCATTCAGCTGGGTTCTTATCTAGGGCAGGACTAGAACTCACAGGTTTTTTGCCAGTGCCTTTAACCATGACAGCAAACTAGCTACTAATATTATATAAAGAATGTTAATTGAATGACATTAGTCTAAACATTTTATTCATAAATTGAATAATGGAACAATCATGTTGTATGACTAGAATATAAGCACAAAAGAAACAATAATGTACATATTCTTGCCTAACAATAGACAAAATGTAGAAATGATGTACAAACACAATAAGCATTTGTGTGAAATATAAAGTCATTTGTTTATTTATTTTGTACCTTGCCACAATTGGTTTGATTCTCAGTGGCTTACATGGTATGAAAAAGAAAAAAAGGAAGGCATCCATGATACAATATAAATACTCATTTATTTGCATATAAAACACAAATCTGGGAAATACTAAAAATAACAACTCATTAAAATTAAATAAAAACTTGGCCCAAGCAGGTTAAACATTAGACTTCATGACTGTTAATGAGAATAGGGAAATGTTTTAATAAATCACTAGGCAGTAAATTTATTCTGGGCTGGACTATTTTCAATATTTGAAATGAAACATAGCCATCTTATTTAATGTGGAACTCTTGTTTTCAAGAACGGCCCACATTTCTCAGAAGACCAATCAACCAAGTGGTTTTGGAAGAAGATGTTGTTGAGTTTAGATGCCAGGTACAAGGCGATCCTCAGCCATCAGTTCGCTGGAAGAAAGATGACATTGATTTGCCAAGAGGAAGGTAAGAAAAATGCTCATTATTCATAGGGCTTTTAGGATTGCCATAATTATTCATAGGAAACATTATTAATAAAAAAAAGCATATTGGTTAAAAGGATTCTATTATTTATTTATTTCTATTATTAAGAACACATGTTCTTAAGGAAATACAGTTTCGTAATTAGAGATACTGACCCTTTAAGCAATAATTCTTCAGATCTAATTGCAGGCCCCAGAACACCAAGAAATTTCATCAATAAAATGTGATGGTAAAATGATTGATTATAGAGTTAATGCAATGTTCACTTATGTTTATGACTTTAGGAGTGTAAATGAAAACATATGAGCCAGTTTGATGTAATGCTTAAGACACCAGGCAAGAAACCTATGGGAGTTGGAGTTCTGGTTCTACCTTAGGCACAAAGCCAGTTGAGTGGCGAGTCACTCTCTCTAGCCTAGGATGTTAATATCAAATCATTTCCAAAAAGCCAAGAAAACTACAAGGGTTTGTCCAGACAGTCTCCAGGAGTCAAAATTGATTCAAACACACAGACACACAATGAAAACATTTCTAATCCCAATCTCAGAAATCTGAATGAAAAGTCATATGTCATTGGAAGTCTTACAATATAACAGCAAGGAGTATGAACTGAAGCAGAAAATGTTGCTTAACTATACAATAAAGGAATAAGATTTCTCTTCTCCTTTATGTCACTCTTGCATGATATTAATTTTTTTAGATTTACTAAATAATTTCACTAAAATTTAATAACTTGATTAAAACACTGATTTGATCAGATGTGACGTTAGCTTGACCCAGGGGTGGGTTCTTGCTCCTGTTACTGCCAGTTCGCTCAGGGATGCACTTCAGGCTCACGTGCTTGAGGCACGCTATGCATGCATGCACAGTAGTGAAAAAATTGCTTCTGCGCATACATAGAAGCAAAAAACAAGATAGTGCCATAGGCACTGCCAATAGAACCAGTTCGGGGACGTGGTCGACCTACTCGGCCGAATCAGTCCGAACCAGTAGGAACCTACCTCTGGCTTGACCTCTTATGCTCTCTAACATAATACTAGTAATACATAATCCAGAGAATGTTCATTGTTATGTCACTTGAAAAAATAACACTTAAAGAAATTAAACACTGTAAATAAATTAAATATTCAAACTAGCTAATCCTACATAACTAATTTTCCTGAAAATCCTATAAAAGTATGGAAAATACTTTAGGAAAATGCAGTTTTAATAAAAGTATAGTGTAAAAGGATATAATATTTATAATGAAATATGCTCTTACTATTCTCTGAAAATATAACTATTTCTTTTTATAACCTCTGCTTCAAAATTTTCATGCCTGGATATTTGTTTCCAAACCTTGTAATGCTAATTTTAAGAATCAGTGGTTTTAAATTTCTGTTTGATTTAGGTTTTAAAGTTATTTTTTAAAATTTGGATTACTTCTCTCCTTCTTGCCTGCTATGAAATTCCAGTTTTCTGTAAACTTTCTGCAAGTTCAGGGTCTGCTGTTTTGGGTCAACCAAGTGTTGATCCAATGATTGCAATAGGAATGGTTTGTTGCCTGAACCTAATGTCATGGGCTTTCAGTGACTTAATCAAAGCCAGCCAGCTTTAATGGGACTAGAATTCAGTCTCCTGGAAATAAAGCCTTAACCACTAGACTAAACTGTCATTTATTTATCTGTCCATCCTTCAACATACATACCTACAATTCAGTGCTCGAATTAAAAAAAAATACTACTAGTTCTGTGGGCTTGGCTTGGTGGGCGTGGCTTGGTGGGCATGGCAAGAGAAGGATACTGTAAAATCTCCATTCCCTTCCCACTCCAGGAGAAGGTTACTGTAAAATCCCCATTCCCTCCTGATCAGCTGGGACTCAGGAGGCAGAGAATAGATGGGGCGGGGCTAGTCAGAGGTGGTATTTACCGGTTCTCCGAACTACTCAGAATTTTTGCTACCGGTTCTCCAGATCCATAGGCCTGCTGGATACCACCTCTGAAACAATTGATGGTCCTGGTTTATCCCAGAGACTGTGAAGAGACAATAATGTCTCCATTGAGGACAAGCAAAAGAACAAGCAAGCTTAAAATATTAAAAAAGCAAATTTTGATTGAACCTCAGAAAATATTTCATAATAATAATTACTCTTTAACAATTGAACTGACAATGTCATTATTTAATGCTTTTCTCTAGTTCCTTTACCAGTTCAACTACTTAAAGAGATACTGCATGGCTCTCTACTAAGCAAGGATCCATAGTGGATTCCGGCATTGGGAAGAGTTCCAAACATTGCATTATTAAATGAAATGCAATTCTAAAAGCATTTTGAAAATGTAAAGTGAACAATATGAATATTGATGAGTTTTCAGTGATTTATTATTATGACTAGTTTTCTTCTTTAATGTCTGTTTGACACATTTATACTGAGGGGCAATGAATTCTATAAATGATGGAAAGTATTTGTAATTACTTCCAGTTAAATACAATCTGACTTATGTGTTGAATATGCCACTTTATTTAAGCTTAGATACAGAAGCAATATTACAGACTGAAATATTTGGTGTGGAGATGGCATTTCCTTGGCTTAACATTTAATAACATTTGATTACAGTTTGTGCTGCACTTCATGTTTTCTAATTTCTAGCAAAGCCTAAGAGACCAGCTGCATAACTGTAATTATGTAGCAAGTAATATAGGGTTTTCCCCCTTAGAAATAAAATACTTTTAGTTACAGATTGGAATGTATGAAATTTGCTAATAACAATTTACATGCAATATGATAGCAAGGCTACTTTTGTGAGACTGAACTAATGTACAGACAGAATGAATGTGTCATTTTCCTAAATGTATATCCTTAAAGTATCTGTTTTATGGGGAGGGGAGGATATTCCTGTTCTGAGCAGCTGGTTCAGTAAGTACCTCTTTAATGAAATTACAATTGGTTTTTGTATGTTGGATGTGTAGATATTTCGTGTTAACAGACAAGAGAACTGAAGGTAGCAACAGATATAAACTACCAGCAAGAAAGAACCATTTCTTTAAATTTATTCTCTGTAGTGCAATAAATAGAACAATGCAAGAAAACCTGGTAAACTAAAAATAATATGCAAGTTGCCCTCTTTTACAATGAAATGTTACGTTGCTATGCATTGTTGGATAAAAGAATTCTTTTGGCAACCTAAGAACCAGTTCTGTTTAATGGAAAATTAAGAAAAGATCTCTGGTTTCATTTTGTTTTGGTATCTAGCAAACATTATTTCTGGGAATGGAAGAAGATAAAGTGAAATGGAACATTGTCACTGGTTAACTTGATAAATAAAGTTCCTATCATTAATGTCATAAGAAATCCAGCATTACCCATCCAAACTATTTCCATTTCGTTTTGCTTTTCACCAGGCAATCTACCAAAAATAGCATATTGCTATTATTTCTACCTCCTCCTCTACAAGTGAAACAAAATGAAGATTCTAATTGTTAAGCCATTTTTTGTTTTTGTTTCAATTAATGATGTAAATGGCACTGTTAGTTATTAAATCTACCTCTATCTGTTCTAGCATGCTGGAATTTTTAGTGATAATTTTCAAGAAAAGATACCCTGATAAATGCAAGATGTGGGAATTTAGTACTTCCTATATTTTCTTGGTGATAAGATAGGAATTTGGCATTCACTTTTGAAATCAGGTGTTTCACACAATAAAATTCATCCTTTTTCCTCTATGGCTTGACATTTGAATACAGTAAGCAATAAGACCCACAGCCTAAAAGAAAGGGTAAATGGACATTTAGCTTGAAAGTGATGTAATGCATTATTTATGCCAAAAGATGGAATTTGCCTATTGCTGCCATTATTTCATGAGCTGTAGACCAGCTATAGGGTTCTTTATTTGCTTTTATACTAAACAGAGACATTCATATTGGCTTTACTTGATTTTTAGTGACCTTCAATACAATCATGATGTTCTCTGCAACAATCATGGTGTTAAGAGTAGGTTTTGGTAATTCTACAACTTCCTCTACAATTAGTGACAATTGGTATTGGGGGAGAGAGGGTAGAAACCTAGCCCTAAAACCCTTGATGTGTAGGTTGTCATATGTCTGTATTTTTTCCTTGTTCCTATTTAACATCTACAGAACACCACTGGGTAGTTTGCCCAAAAAAGAAAGTTAGATATCATCCATACTGTGTGCTGATAATAGCCTTCTTTACATTTTCACCTGTGTCAGCCAACAGTGCTCTACATATTTTTTTTGCAGTGTCTGAAAGCGGTGGGAAGAGCAGTCTCAGGTTTAGGCTCAACCTTGGCAAGATGGAGTAGCTATGAATTTTGTAGTCTTCCCTACCTCAGGAGCCAGGGCTTACCATATTTGGCTATGAATGGAGTAGCATTCTCCTACTAATTTAAAAATAAATTAGAAAAAAATGTTTTTCTGTATGATATAAAGGAAATAATGTTGATCATATGAGCAGATTTTCTGTTTTAATTAATAATAATGAGCAATATTGAATGAAAGTTGGAGAGAAAAATATTTTTCTGCTATTAAACATAGCTCTTTAAACATTTTGTCTTTATAAGCCTATGCTGTTTTCAGGTTTTCAGCAGTGTACATCAAGGAGACTTATTTCTTTTATGAAATGAATAGAGTAGGTCAGAGAATGTTGTTAAAACCTTGACAATAGACGGGACAAAGCTAATATATTATTTCTGTGTTTATGTGAGATGGAATGTCAGAAAATATATATTATCAGTTATAGTTTATAGTGAATTAACCTGACAGCTTCTGAGCACTGTAGCGGCTAAGGAAGAATCTTCAATTTGATATAGTATACTATCTTTGGTTAACAGAAAATTAATAGTAAAAGGCATGTCAATTTTATTTGGAAATGGTTATTAAAAAGAAATGCTAATGTTGAAAATTTTACCATTTCTTGCCTAATTTAACCATTAATCATTGCTCATTAAAAGAAAAACAAGTGGAGTCTCTTATTTTCTTCAAAGAAAATTCATTACTGTGTGTTATAAACTGAAATCCTGGGAGGTTTGACATTCCAGTGCTTAAGGGCTGAATTACAATATCAAAAAGTAATACAGGCTTTCAGAAGAATGTGCTTCTAAGGGGATTGAAAAAATAGTTATGCTTTCACTGGAATTTCCATTTGGTAGGAGTCATTTGCAATGAAGATAACAGAAACCTCCATAACAAATTATTTTATGAAAACATTCTTTGGCATTGTTTCTAAAGCTCTGCTAATAAGCATGTTATTGATGAAAGCATGATTTCTAAAGTGTATAAATATAATAGTAGTACATGGATGTGAATTTTCTATTGCTTCGTTGTCCATTTGTAATAATATTAACCAATATTATCATTAATATTTTATGCTTTTTAATTATTTTCTTTCTTTGCTCACAATACTTGTTTGCTAAAAGTTATATGAAAATATTAATTGCATTTATATATTAAAACTCATACAGTGTGCAATTTTCAAAATTGGATTGTTAATATTCTTCCCAAATCATGGCCCTAATGGGATTTTAGACCTATAAACAGGGGTGCGTTGCTGCTGGCATTACTGCCAGTTTGGTGCACGCAATTGTTGTTGTTTTTTTCCACAGAAGAAAAATGTGAAAGATAAACTTATTGTGGTTGTGTGTATGATTGTATCCATTTCGCCAAGGCCAGTTCTGGTTTTCAAAAGCTTTTTCTACATTGTCTATTATTGTTATTTCAATTTACTATTGTTTATTTTATGTTAAATATAATTCTCTCATTTATTCTTAAAAAGATGTAAAGGAAAACGTAAAGACTTTTTCTCTTATTGCTTTATTTGAACACTTGCTACTGCACATTATCACCCCATAATTGTAAAGTTAGTAATATTTTACCATTTTAGATGTTATATTTTTCTTTACTTATAATGTACAACATTAATAATCATAAATAATAGAATACAAACCACAATTCGGTAAAGGAGCTGTACAGATGACCAACCTTGTTCTAAGCTGCTGAGCTATAATTGAAAACTGTAAAACAAATATGTGTTTTTACAAAAGACTATCTAACATGCTTAATAATTTCATAAGATTTAATTAGTCCATTCAGCCATGAATAACTGAATTTGATGTAATGTCTAAATGAATAAAATGAATAAAATGAAATCGGTTCCTTGATTTCCTGACAAATTAATCTGTATTACTCTTTTTAACAGTTAATTAAGTACTATATTCTATGAAACAGGTTTCTTCCACTACAAATAACCCATCTTGCTTTAAGATAATGCAAATTCAAATTTGTGAATAATAAGAATAATTATCCAAAACTAGTAAATATATCCACATTTCATGTTGAGTTAAATTTATACAACATCAGACTGCTTAAAAAGTCATTTTCTGTTGATATAATAATTTCTAATTCTGAAATACCTTGCATTCTCTTGTAAAATTAAATTAAAACTAAACATTACAACTAATGTAAGGAAAATAAATAACTCTATAATATGCTGCTTCTCATTTCTAAGTACCTTTATGAATGTTTGCCACATTTTTGCCACAACCTATTTCAAAGTAAAAGAGAACTAACATTTTCAGCTTATTACCATGAACCTGAGCCATAAATGTGTTACCATCATTATAAGAAATAACAGAACAGAATATCATCTGGGAGTTATTTACTTCTGAATTAATAACGTACATGAAAAATTGTAAGCATAGGGATACATATTCTATATTTGTTATTTTAAATATTAATCTCACAGAATTACAATTAGTCTGTACCACAATACGTGAAACATAAACATAAGGAATGAACACTACTAAGCTTCCAATTTCTACAGATGTTTGTTTTCGTAAGTCTTATACAACATCTCCACTTGTTATGGCAATCTTGTCTATTTTTGTCTGTGTGAGATAAGTTTATCCCTGTTTAATTTTTAATGAGAATTGTCATGTTATTGTTCACATTTTTTCACAATGTCCTGATAATACTGTCCTGTTGGCATTCCATGGAATCATTTCCCTAGCTTTATCAATATCCTTCAGTCATACTTTCCAACTCATATCTCATTTGTTGATTCATTCTGACTCCTGTTATTCACAATGTTTTGGTTTCTTTGATTTTAAAGCCTCACTTTATTCTTTTAAAAAGTTTTTATTCTTTCTCCATAACATACTAGAGTGGCTGCATATGAACCAATCACTTTTACTCTAACAAAAGCAATAACAGATTATAATGTACTTCTACTACCATGTTCAAAGTTGAAAATGTTTGGTGGGCATATATAAATATGACATCATCTAAAATTGATTATTAAGTTTCACATGCTGGTATATTGTTTGTAAGTGTAGGAGAATAAAAATTGGAATTTCTCTGCTCAGGGACTCCACCCTTTATAATGATAGCTTTTAAGACTAGTAACCATTTCAATTGTGCTAGATATGCATTTTAAAATGTGATGTGTTTTTTAAAAAATAATGTGTTCATTATTCCCTGATGCCCTGGGAAAATAATAATAAAATATTTCTTTGCAGGAAAATCCATCATTCCCATTGACCTTAAACCAAAGAATTTGAGGAAAATAGAATACAAACTTTAGAAACTTTAAATTATTCCTATTAGTGTAAAAAATTGTTGAAAGTAAAAATAACTTTGTATTCCTTAAAAGCAATTGTAATATAAATTGGCCTAATCTGGTCTCATTTTCAGTATGTGAAATAGGAAATTATGTGAAATTGTGTGTGTGTGTGTGTGTGTGTGTGTGTGTGTATGTGTGTGTGTGTATATATATATACACACTAGATGAATAGTATGTATACCTATATTTTAAAATTAATTAATACAGCATTTAAATAATTGTTTATAATGAAGCCATCTTGTTTATAAAACATTTTTTAAACATTTTTCCTTAAGACATTTGCTATAGTATATTTTGTTGAGAAAATTTAGCATGCACAGAAATCTTACAGATCTTACTTTTACTTTGCTTGCTCAAAGTCTAAAATTCCCTTTAATGTAACTTTGTTAAGATATTATAGAACTGAAATGTTTTGATAGGTATATTTCATATTATTAGATCAGAATAAAACTTAGGATATTACATACTGATAATAGCGCTATCTGATTTTAGTGGTTAAGAACAAGGACAGAATAAGTGATATTCCTAATATAACTTTAATGTGACATGAACATAGCCATACTAATTTTATGGCTCTAAAGCTTTAAGTTATACATGGTTCAATAAAAGTGTCATGAAGATTAATTTTTAGTGGAATTATGTCATTTCGTATAATGAATTATCTTCTAGAGATGTTTCTGTGTTAGAATAATGATGACAGCATTCCAGGTGAAAAATTAAACTTGGTATAATTTTCTATTCTAAAAGCAGATATGATATCAAAGATGATTATACCTTGCGTATTAAAAAGGCTATGAGCTCAGATGAAGGAACATACACATGCATAGCTGAAAACAGAGTTGGAAAAGTTGAGACATCTGCAACTCTTACAGTTCGAGGTGAGTTCTGAACTATTTAATACATAACAACATATAATATATATGTACATATCTTTTGGTGACTGAAGATTAGATTTTAAGATTCTCTCTTAGAATACAGGAAATAGTTGTATTTAAATAACCAACTCTGCTTGTAGCTTACTTTGATCACTGATAGTAGCTGTCAAGAATATCATGCAGAAAAACTTTTTTGACATTGATCCACTTCCTAATGATTAAAAAGAGATTTTGATGTCATTACAATTATTATACCAAGAGAAAGTTCTTAAAACTCATGAAACCTCTTTTGTTACTGAAATCCCAAGAGACAATAAAAAGAACTTATATATTTATAAGCATTGCATAATTAAGTGCCTATCCATTTTGTTCTTGGAAAACTTATAAACAAGGAAATTGAAGAAAAAGTTCACAATTTCATATTTAAATGAAAACTAGCAGCTGAAATCATATATCTCCTTATCCAAATGAAGTTCCAATACTGTTGTGACAAAATTAAGGATAGATACATGAAAAATATAATTTTCTTCATTACAGCTGACCCATGCAACAACAGGTGGCTATAAAGCCAGTCATCAAGAAAAATATGAGTTTTATTTTTCACAGTAAATGTAATATATCAGACTAATACAATATATAAAGACTCAAGGAAGAATTAGATAAGTATATGAGGAAGGAGGAAAAATGTGGTGATATGAAACTGCCATACTATACATATATATCAACACAGATTAGATATGGGAATGTAGATCTTTTTTTGATGTAGAAAGAGAAGTAGAAAATACCAAGGTACAAAAGGGGGGGGGGCAGGCAATAGACAGTATATTGTGATTGGCCTATGGATCATGATTTTTGGTCTGCCGTATATAAAAAACAAGATGGATTTACAATTTACACATATGTGTGTGAGAGAGAGTAAGTTTATTGTATAAGGGATACTTAGGAACAAAATATTTATGTGGATTTCATGAGATATTTTCACTGTATAATACACTAAAATCATATACATATTAACTTAATACACCTTGCATTCATATCATATTCTTTTTAGAGGATATGTTAGTCTGCTGAAATTCTATTCCTTTTGGTGTGTATTTTTCCCATTGCCAGCTGTGGGCGTCATTGGTAATGAATGCAGCTGGAGGTCATTTTATAAATGAGTATACACAAACAAACATAAAAATAGAAGTATAAAAAATAATGGATACTACACAGGCACTGTTCCACATTTTAGCAGCATGGTCTAAAGATTTCACTAGAATTGCAAAAATTGCTTCATAAGTGTTTTTTCTTTTTCTATACATTTATATGGTCTGTTTTATTAGAATATGGGTCAACTGATCTGAGATGCCAGCTTTTATAATATGGTTTAGTTAATTGATGAATTTGAATGGAGAAAAAAAGAAAGAAAATGGAAAAAAGCATAGTAATTCTGGCAGTGGGGAACTCTCCAGATTTTTTTAAAATAGAGGTTTTATGCTTTATTTTTACAATTAATAGTTTCCTATTATGCTAAAATCTTACATAACAATGAATTGCCCCATACGTTTCATACAATCTTCAGAACAGGCATTACTACTTTAAGAGGATAGATATATACTTACATCCTTCCAAAACAACTGTTAAATTTGCTGAAGCTTAATTTCAACAAAGATAAATGTGAAAATATGTATCTATCGCTGAAGAATCCTTCAGCAATATCCAAATTTTCTGAACATAAAGGTTTTTGTTTTTTGGCAAGCAATTAAATAATGAAGTTGAAATCAAAATTGGAATCCTTCTTCTTTCTTAAAGTTCACCAGATTCTGTTAGTAAAAGTAATTTGGAAATTTTATTTCATGTTCCAAATGGAATTTATCTTAAAAATCAAAACTTGATAAATTTCCAGTGTTGAATTGCTATTTTAAAATCCTACTCTACTTTTTATAGTGCCTCCTTCACAACAATTACAAAGCTTTTATTGTTTTTGAATTATATTAATATTAAATCATGCCTTATAACATTGAAACTGCCAAATTATGAATTTTTCTTTTGAACTTAGTCTAATTTACTCCACAGAAAATATGCACAGGATAAAACTTGATCAGAAATGTAATAATTTTATGAATATAGCAGCTTAACTTTCATTTCTGAAGTATTTGAGCATCTATGACTGTCTGTCTTGTTCCATGAAGTATTTGAATTATACAAGCATAAAACTCTCCTAACATTAAACCTCTTTCATACATTCCTTGGCTCTGAGTTACATCAAATAAAACCATGGCAGGCATAAACACTTTTGCCAGACATACTGTTATGAAAAATAGTGACTGTAACAACTGTAGTGTTATTAGATGTACACAAATTCAATTCTATCTGGCAACAGTATATATTTTTTCAAACTCTTATTTGATTTAGAAAGATACTAGAGAATATTATTCTTTTAGAAACATATACATAAAATAATAGGAAAGTTAATTTTAAACACTGTTGGTTTGAAAATGTCCAAATTTAATTATAAATGTGTTATAACAAGTTGCAAGTCAATAAATATCCACATTGGGAGCTTTAAAGCAATTATGGTTATGTCATATCAAAACATAGTCTACAAAATTATAATTGAAAGTGGTATTTTATTGTGCAAATCATAAAGAAAAAATAATAATTACAATGAGTGATCTAGAATATATATGAATACTAAAAGCTACACATCTCAAAGAAACTTATAAATTTATTTTGTGAAGTTTGACTAATGCAGTTGAATAATTAATGTAATAATTAAGTACTTAACAATATTATGTGATTAATTCTTTAACTGCTTTGTTTCTTATACATAGAGCTCCATGCAGACCTAAGCTTGTCCTTCAATCAAATAAGAGCTGACACATAAGCCAAACACTGTTAATATGACAATCTAAACCCATGATAGACACCTACTAAACTGAAGACACTCAAAGTTAACATACATTTGAAAGAAAAATATCCCATTAATAAGTTCCATTTTTTTAAAAAAAGGAAGTTACCCAACAACATTTTCTAAAATTCTGTTAAAATTCCTCTGATTATTCAAAATTATTTGTTTTAATTTTATCATCTGAATCAGTGAATATACATTTTTATTTGTTACTAAAATATTATACCTAAACACAGATACCACCACATACTTTTAGCTTTTCTCCAAGCTTACCAAAATCCTGGCTAGATATGGTTAAACACCATTAGTCTTTAAGTTAAATACTCATGCTATTTCTTCTTTTAATTGGATTAATATTTCCCAATATGTGAGTTTGGATTAAATAAAAAAATCTAGAGATTTAGCTGCTTTTCTTTAAATATTTGAAATGACATTTGATAGTGTCATATGAACCTAACAATAGAAGTAATCAGATCACTAATTTAATATAATCAAATTCTACATATGTATTTCTCAATGCAGCTTTAAAATCATAAATAGAAAGAAATTATTAATTATGGTTGCTATATATGAATAATGTTCAGGTAATTATCCACATATAGCATAGCATTACACATCATGCATTCTGACAAATTCTTTTTTTTCTTTATTTTTTTTACATTCTCACCACACCATTGTAATATCTCCAGCTCGTCCTGTTGGTAAGTAGCCATCCTTTCCATCCTATCCATTTTAGCATAATTTCATATAATTCTCCATCTTTCATTTATTATCATACAGATATGTTTTAAAATAATTATTAATTACTGAATATCTGATAGAGAAGGAAATAATTATTATTTACCTGTTTTCAAAGTTATTATACAGTAGAAAAATTAGAATAATGCAAGAACCATAATAATTTAGTGTCATTTTTGAATCTGAAATGCTGTATAATAAAAATAATGAACATATTTGATTAAAAACCTGCAATCTAATTTGCACTCTCACTGAAATAAATGAAATTATACTCTTTGATGGTATCTTTAGTAATGTATTGAAGAGAAAAAATTAAAACAGCAGTGACTAATATAAGTAGACATGTATTTTTTGAAAAGATACAAAAGTTATGCTTTACCTGAAATGAATTTTGTTTCCAGTATTAAAGAAATATTTACACAGAACTTATTTAAGAACTGTTATCAATGTCATTTTTATTTGCATTAGAAATGCCAGTTGTTTTGTTTTTGGTATGCTCAGTATGATATACAACATAATACTGGTGCAATGTTCTGTGAAATGATATTTTTAGAGATTGTTTTTCAATGACATTGTTAAATAACAATACTAATATTGAGAGGTTATAAAATTTTTGATATCATTACCATTATTTTATAGGGTTTCAACTGAAATAAAAGAAGCTTTTTACTAATGTGTCAAATATGTAAGTGTCCTTTGGTTGATATGAAATACAGGGTAGATATAGTTTTAAAAGTTTTCATTCTGTCTGAGAGGAAAAGAAAAAATCCGGATTTAATCACTGCTTGTTCTATTATTTTCATTTTCCAAAATCAAATATGACAATTCAATTTTAAATCATTAAATTATTGATATAAATTGTTAAATTATCCCTGCCTTTTCTATTAAAACAAATCATATGTATCATATGGTACTGAGCTTACGTATGCAGAATATATATATATATATAAAAATTAAGCATTTAGATTATCTTCTACAGGAGTTTACATTATATAAATTCTGGAAATAGAGCATTCATTTCTTTTCCCTCCATTGTTGTCTATTATGGTTCTCATCAGATTTTCAGACAGACAAATCAATATCTTCACACATAGAAATACTATTGCACTGTTTCTACCTGGTTTGTTTGTCCAAAATACAGTTGCAGTCATTGTCCTGCTTTGGGTTTCAATTATACACACACACACACACAAATTTGCCAAAGAAATTAACAGTTCAAGTTTAACTCAAGTTCAAGGAAATATCAGTAGGCAATGAATGCAAATCAAAACAGAGCCTCCGAAAGAGTTTTCCCAAGGTGATTTTGCTTTTAACAGGAACATGCAGAATTATATTTAAAATCCAGTCGAGAGTTTCATCAGCCAGTTCAGAGTGGTCAGCTAGTCCAGAAGTCAAAATTTCACAATCAATCCAAATGAGCATCATGTAACAGCCAGCGATCAGACAATTTCAGTGAAGGATGATGGCTCAGAGCTTGCCTCTTAAATGAGGTTGCAGCAAACTATCTTTACATAAGAGATTTTTTTTTCTTTTTTAGTTCTGAGCTGTGATGGTCTCCCCTTCTCCACAATCTCCTCCAACCTCAATTGAAGGTTCAGGATTTTTGGAGAATCAGCAGTGGAACTGAATTACCAAGTGTACATTCTCTCAGGAACATTCCTCTCCATCATTTCCCAAGTACTGTAGTGTTGATACCAACATGTTGATATGCAAGATTGGGAACCTATACAATATATGGAAGACTGAGTGCATTTTGATAATTGCAGGTGATTAAGTATCTGCTTCAATGAGAAAAAGAATTGGGAATTGGTCATATAGGGTTTTTTGGATCTGCACTGACTAACAAATGTCAGGTGGAAATCCAAAAAAATCTCTAAAAGACAAGGTGACTCTAGGTTGATGGTGAAGTTCTTTGCTCCCTGTATCTGGTCTTGAAAGACTTGGTAGGTTGCCTTCAGTTCCTATGGGAACTGATCTTTGACTAAAATAGATGAATTAGAGGAATTCAAAATAAAGCAATATGGATGGAAACCATAATTAACTAGGAACAGAGATATCTTTATAGAGATGTATTGTACAGGGTTGTAGACAAACTCCACTGCAGCCAGAAGCTCAATCCAATTGTCGTCTTAATAATTGACATAATCACAGAGATATTCTCAAGGATAGTATTCACAAATTCAAGTTTGCCTGTCTGTTTGAGTATGATGGCTGAGGAAAGATGGACTTGCACCCCCAAACCTGTTAAGAGTACCATCTCAATGAAGCATTAATTTCATGGCCCTGATAAGAAACCAGATGTTCATGTAAGTGGAAAATATAATCTAAAAAGACAGCTGCCTTTGCTGTTAATAAATAGCTATAGGGAATGAAATGAACCACCAATATAGTTGTTGGTCCTTTTGACAAAGATAGTTCAATGACATAGTCTGATATAGTGATATACAGAGGGGCATGGCTTGTCAGAATCTTTTCAAGATTCACACTAACACAAGTTCCCCAGGTAGCTTTCCTGGAATATCCTTGACTCAGCAGCAATCAGGACAGGAAGTGACCTACTGCTCCACCTCCATTTGGAGATGGAGCCAGCGGGAATTTTGACTCAATAAATACAGAATCTTAAATTGTCCAAAGTGTCTTGGCAATGGACTGTTGTGGCTCAGTCTCAGGACCATACCCCATGAGGGCTCAGCGGAAACTTAAATTGCAAGAATTTCCCCTGTAATTTCCCTCCAACAGGTCTGTGCATAACTATCTAGATGTTACTGTTCCTTTAGTTGCTATAATAGAGTTAATGAAACATTGGAGTGACTGTGTTTTCTGAAGGTTTGAGAGTGGCAGATTGGGTATCACTGCCAGTGATGGATGGAGGGCATTGACACATTTATTAATGGCTGCAAGGGATGTGATTTGAAGATGTTTGTGATTCAGATGATCACTACAGACTTCCATTGGGTGTCTGGCTCGTTCTAGCAGATGTCACAAGATTTCAAAAGTGGCTTTAATTGCTAGCAGTTCCTTATCCAAGTGATATTGTTTTTCTCGGCCATCTTTCAATTTCTGAGAGTAATAGCCACAGGAGAATATACTGGAGGAGCATCAGGTCTGCCTGGAGCAGTACTGCTCCCAACACTACCTCAAAGGTGTCAGTCAGTCTCTATGACAAAAGGACTTGCTGCATCTGGGTGCCAAAAATTGAGCTGAGAGGCAAATGCAGACTGTAAAGCTTCAAAAGCTTACTGAACCTTCTCATCTGAAAAGTGACCTTCTGGAGGTGGTTGGTCAATGGTGCAGTGACTTTAGCAAACCAAATAATAAAGAACTGGTCATAATTTGCAAAGTGCAGAGGCATTGTATATCCTTGTGTGAGGACTACCAAAACAAGATAACATCCACCTTATCAGGCTCCATGTCACTATCAATAGAAGATTTATGATTGCCTAGAAATTATGTTTTGGTAGTCTCAAATTCATACCAAGTGAGTGTTGTAAATAGATAATTTTTCTCCATTCTCTGTAAATCGGTCTGACATGTTGTTCATGCTCTGCAATAGAAGTCAAGAAAATCAGGATATCATCAATATAAATAATGATAGAATGATCCAAGAGATCTCAGAACACATCACTCTTAAAATGCTGGAAGATTGCATAAGGATTCATTAATCCAAGCCACATGAGCATATATTCAATATACCCATAGTATGTTCAAAACACTGTATTCAATTCCTTTCTCTTTCTTTTGCACATTAAATTGTACAACCTATAATACCTAACCTGATAAACATTTAGCATTGTAGAGGCATTCAGAGATGAATGACAAAGAGTAATGACTATAAACAGTAATCTGATTCAATTGTCAGTAATTGTTGCAGACACCAGGTTCTCCCAATTTCTTTCTAAAGAACAGTACAGGAGTCAATGCAGAAACGGCTAAGGGTCAAATAAAGCCTCTTTTCACATTTTTATCAATGAATCCACAACCTAGGTTGTGATAAAGAGTAGACACATCCAACTGGGATCTTAGCCCCTGGTACCAGGATCAATAGGATAGTCATGAAATTGGTGCCTTAGTAACTGATATGCTTTCCTTTGACTTATTACATCTGTGAAGTCTCAGTATCTAATGAGAAATGCCGTTTAGCAGCTAAAATTGCAGGAATGACAAGCTCATCATATATTATTAAATTTTTCATCTATCACCAATTTTTGTTTTTAGATGTGACTACACAATGGTGTGTGTCATGCTAGATTCAGATTGACATATAAGTGGCTGTAGGATTTTCCTCTAAAATTGCATTCTGACTTAGGGCCATATGACAATTCAGAGTTTGCCCTGTAACACTCCCCCCCACAACAAAAAAGGAGTCTCAGGAGTGAACTGATTCCAGATACCTGTTTTCTTTCCCCTAGCCTCTAAGACCAGTTCTAACTGACATCCAAACCTTAAGCTGGTGAACTAAAAAACAGATGTGGCAGAAGACAAAGCAAAGCAAAAACACAAACCAACCCAAACCCCATACTAGATGTAATCCAAAGAATCTGAGAATCTTGAACTTTATGTAAAATGACAGCCAGATAGATATATCTGAATACACCCAATATGCATTCTGAATAAATTCTCATTTTCGGTTATAGAACTAAAACTTAAATATCATCTGAACAATATAAGAAACACAAAAACATAAATACCCCCAAATTTTGTTTTGTTTTTTAAGTTTTTTTATTTTTTGTTCTCTATATATACATTCACATAATTATTATTCCTTTTTTTACATTCATAATTCTAATACATTTGTCATTCCATTTATAGAATTGTAATATTCCATTTGGGTTGTTTTGTTTACCATCCCTCGCCTATTTTGACATCACCTTCTTCTCCTTTCCTTTTCTCCCTCCCTTCTCTACTTCCTTCTTTCCTCTTTTCCCTTCCTTCTTCCCTTACCTTTCCCCTCCTCCTCTCTTCCTCCTCCCCTTCCTACCCTCTGTCCTTCTCTCCTTCCCCCTTCCATCTTCCTCTCCTCACTTTCTGTCTTCCTTCCCTCCTTTTCCCCTCTTCCTTTCTTTTTCTATTGCTGCAGGTTTCTCTTCCAGCTCTTAATTTCTATTTTCTTGGGGTGGTATTTCCACAAACCCAAAAATCTTTGTATATCATTTCTTGTTTTGTTTTTTTTTAAGAATTTTTTTTTTGGTCAGACAAAAACAGACAACAAATAATACATAGAACCTTCTTCAATCATGTACAGCATATCGTTTGGTTGTAAAATTTTGTGTATCACTTCCATAGTCCTCACTTTCAAATGTATGTAAAATCACAAATTATCAACTCATTTTGAACAAATTCTCATATCATCAATCCAGTATATTATATAAAAAATATTATAATTATTAAACATTCATTTGACTATAAATTGCTTTTATGTCCTTTTGTATGAACTATCCTAAATTTGAGGTAAAACTATAATAGCATTCCATTCAATAACATTTCATCTTTCTAACATATTCTAAATAAAAATTGATTATATTTAATAAAAAATACTTTTAAGTTTCCTCTCATAGTCCTCATTTGCAGTTTGTATAAAATTTCATATCCTCAAACTAGTACCAATATATGTATTATTATCAATATTACTCATTTATATGACTGTATATAATACTCTAAATTTAACTAAGTTTGACTTAATATTTATTATAAACTTTCAGAAGATCAACTTGTTCCTTTCCAGTAGTAGTGCAGTTTTATATCTTGTGTCGTTTGTGGAATTCATATTCTGGTTGTTTTCTTAGTGAGTCTTTTTTCGCAGCTTGTTGCTCATTGTATATCTTATGAGCACTCGAAACCCTCCATCTGTTCCTTTCATCAACTTATCTTTGGTTATCACAATGTTTCAGTCAAGATTTTTCTCCTTACTTCCATCAAATTTTCTCTTTTTTCTTCTTCTGTACTTTGAGGTCTGAGGTAGAGTTCCAATCATTTGCAATATTAATGTTTCTTTTTCATGTTGCGCCATCCTTCCAATTTATAAACACTGCCACTGTAGCATTTGAGGCTTTTATTGTATTCCAAACAAGTTCATTATAATATTTCAAGTCAAACTTTGCCTTCACTGCAAAAACTCCGAAACAGCAGCTGTATAAACAAACCATGCTCTTTCTACTATCACTCTCAATAAACAAACTGAAAGGAACTCCAATGATCAAAGAGCAGAAAAAAAATACAATGATTCAGCCTCCAGCCTTTAAGTGGCAGTGTTACTTTTTTCTGTCTGCTATTACAGCCCTTTTTAAATAGCAGACTTACGGAGAAAAATTCTTCATTAAAAAAAACCAATCCAATCAAACGTTGTAGAAAAGCAAGAAATTTTTAATCCACAAGTATATATAGAAAAAGTAAAAAATAAAAAGTAGGAGAAGAAAAACTGAGCCTTCCAATTTAAAAAATAGGAAACATTTGCAGAACTTCCATTCGTAAAAAGATAATTTAAAAAAAGAATAAAACACTAAGTTTAATGTAGCTTAATTTCGCCACTTGTTTTCCTTTGTCTTCAATTTTAATTTAGTTTTATTTTGCTTTGTGTAGTCTCTCTTCTAATAATAAAATTTACTCACTAATCCGACACGCTAATTTTGTTTTTGGACTCTGATAGTATGAGATTTTGCAGTGTTGTTGAGGACAAAATTATTTTGATCTTGATTAGTGTGACAAGCAATTTTATTACTCATTTTAAAAATCATTTTATTCATTTATTTTAACTTATTTATTCCACAAACCTATATAGTTACCAATATACCACCAAGAACTTTGACCAGTGCACAAGAATAATTACACAGTTCAGTTAAAGCAAATAATAATAATAATAATAATAATAATAATAATAATAATAATAATAATAGGTAATTGCCCCAATAAAACTTACCTCCATCAATCAGTGGATCATTAAATCATGAAGATTTCTGAAGTGTCCTATGCCTTTACAATTATTAGAAGAGCCATGAGTTCAGGAAAGAGCAGTCTACAATCAAGTTAATAGAACTGTGCATCAGCTACTTTCAGTTCAGAAAAAAGCTTACTAATGAATTTAGTTATGAATCTCAAAGTCAGTCACAAGATTTACACAATTAATTATAGAAAATAATTTGAATACAAATAAAAGGACATTCAGAAGATATTTGTTCTAGATCTTGCAATATGAATTAAATGTATTTTGGGTTCTCATCATTTCCTATGATTGTGTTAATGCAAGTTTCACATGAACTACTGTTGAACTGTAAGCTTTTCAAGCAACTTTAAATACATCTTGTTAACATTCTTTAAGATTTAAATAATATTGTTAATTTTGCCTTTTTGTGCTTTTATAGTTGCATTCTAAATATAACATCCTTTATTTTTTTTCCATTTGGTATTAATTCCTTTTGATATATACCTGTCAAATATTATTTCAACCAAGTTCATCTTTTTAATGAAAGTATGTATTTGATGAATTTCTATGTAATCACTGATTACTACAATATTCTAAAGTATTTAATGAAAATTACCAATATTTATTAGCTTTTTTATTTCATTTCTTGTCAATTAATGGGGTAATTACTGCGATTCATGCAGCTATGCTGATTTGTACCCTTGTACCATTGGCATCTATTATCAAGCAGTCTACTTGTAAGTCCCCATCTCCTTAAAAGCATGACAACAATATTTGGCAGCAAAATTACCAATATTTACGGTATGATTCTGTTCCTTGTTTTAGTTATCACATTGATTTTTTACTCCCAAAGGTTTTCTACTCCAATTCTCATAATTTTAACTCCCTCAAGAAAAGATAGCCTTTTTCCAAATCATTATATTACAGGAAGATTTCTAGAAAATCCACAATCTGAGTTTGTCCATCTTTGATATAAGTTGTCTTAGTTTATGACATAGTGCCTTACACCATAAAATAAAGATGCACATATTTAACTTGTGAAAACAGATGAGATGAAATCTGCAACTTTTGCATGTTTATTTCTGAATAAACTGGAAATAATAAATGTTAAACTGTTAACCTTTCAGAAATATAAAGCTCCAAATTCCAAATCTTTGGGATTTTTGATGGGAAAAAAGCCATGGATGTCTTCATTTAACATGTGCGGGTGCTATGGTATTAATAACAGTATTATCTTTGCATAAGTCACAGACCAATGTAATAAAAAGAAAGAAACATCAAACGAGCAACAATGCATTCTTTCCATTTATTAGAATATTCGAATGTGCTGTTAGTATTAGTACTTAAATAGAGCTAAAGCCTGAAATACGAGTAACCTAAAAACAAGCAATAAAGTCATGTTGTTGTTCAATATTAAGATAATACCCCTAACTAAAGTTAAATGGCAAGAATTAATGAAAAGCACCACTAAAATTCTAAATTTGAAGCAATTAGATATGGTTTATGCAGACAATCATAAAGTTTCTTTGTATGTATTCATTAGGTGTCTCTACTTCTATGAACCATTGAAAATAGAGGAATCTCAAGTTTTCTACCAGAGACCTGGGAGTTTGAGGGTTCTGCACAGTATCTTAGCTGTCCCTAGCACTTCACTCTTTTGAACATAGAGCTCTGACGTTCATAGGATCTATTAGAATCACTCTCCCAGCTTAGGAGTCACAGCCCTGAGTGCTCTTACCATCACTTGGATTACTTTGGCTTTTACTTTCCACATCGTCTCTAGTTTTCTTCCATCAGGCCTTTCTTATACTCCTTCTACCTAATGTTGTTGTCACTTGGTACTGCTGCAGCTTGCTTAGCAAATATCTCCTCCATCTGCCTAAAATTAGTATCAAAGTTGACAAAGTTAGTTTTTACCAATAGGTTTAAAAAATAGCTAAATCTTAGTTTTGATCTAAGTCTCAAAATGGAGGGCACTGTGGAATTTGTAAGATATTTCTTAGAAATTTATGCTGCAGTTTCCATTTGTATATAGTCATCCTATGGTCCTAAAGTATGCTGTACAAGATCTAGAACCACACTTTGACAGAGTAAAACCTCAAGATATGCTGTATATATACTTCTTTTAAAAAATGGTAGTCCTTGTTCTTTAATTCAGCTTTTGCTAACTTACAATTTTTACTTCTTTTGAATCAACGTTGATTTCTGAAATTGAAAATATTGTGACTTTAACTTTTTGATATAGTTGTTAAAACCTTTCACCTCTTAATATCTTATTTTGTCTTCTCACCTCATAGCACCTCCACAGTTTGTGGTAAGGCCACGTGATCAGATTGTTGCGCAGGGAAGAACAGTAACATTCCCATGTGAAACTAAAGGAAATCCTCAGCCAGCAGTATTTTGGCAAAAAGAAGGCAGCCAGGTAAGTTTTTTAAATGAGAATTAATTATTTAATTACTAGAGGTATATAAGGCTTTGGTACCAATGTATCAGGTAGGGTATCTGCATAACAGAAGTTTTCCTCAAAGCATATAAAAAAACCGTTAACTTGAAAGGCATATGCAGATTATGTTCCAATTTGCAGGCAGCCCCAGCAAAGAGGCAAAATTCTCCTATTTATTTATATCAGTAATGGCGATACTAATGAAATAATAATAATAATTTTAACTCATTTTTAAGACTGAAACATATTGAATTTGTCCTATAGAATCATTATATCAATGATTATTTTGCTATCCAGTAAGTTTTTTGGAATATAAATATATTATGCTAGCCCTTTGTCTCACTAAATTTAGCCTTGTTCTCCACATGCTAAACCACAACAGTCATTTTCAATGGAATAGGAAATTATTTCTGTCTTTTTGAGGATTGCTAGCTTATATGAAAATCTGTACTCATATGATTGAGGCACTGAAACATTATCTCAGTTATATACGAGTTAAACTACAAAATATATAAGTTGACACACTTTATGAAATGAATAAATAATTCATCTGTCATTGTTCAATGTAACCATTGTACATTAGAAAACCACAGATGAGGATGCAACATTTTCTTCTACAAATAGTTGTGTTTTTCTTTGTTTCAAAGCTTGTCAGGTTTTTTAGTTGTTTACTTCAATGTGTAGTGTGAAGGACTTGATTCATACAATTTAAAAGTTGATTTCATTATGAAGAAAATTATTTTTGGCTTGCTGTTGAGAAAATTGCTTGGAAGAGAAAATGTATGCCATTTTAAAAATTAAAACAACAATTGTTAACAAACATTTTAAATATGTTATTTAAAGTCTTAATAACATGGTAATGTTTATGTAAAGTGGGCTTATAGTGCCACACTTGAATCTAATAAAGTGGACATCCATCATGATGTAATAAAGAGAAGAGCTTCTAATTAAAGTAGGATATCATTTGCAGGATTACAGTCATTTAGTGTAATTGAAAAGTGTTAATACCCTATTTTATCCACTTTCATTGGTATTACTTCAAGGGTAAAACATTTTAAGGTGAAAATGTATCTTGCTTCTTTAATTGAATGCTGTTACCTACTGATTGTAACATGTTGAAGCTGTTTAATTACAAACCTGTAGAATTAATTACAATATTGAGACCAAGTTCCCAGAGGGCTTAAATGTTCTCTTTTTGGCAAATAAATGTAACATAAAAATTGATACCTCAGTTGTTTATAATCAAACCTTGAAACATAGTTCAATGTGATTCATTATTCCCACGTGTTGTTTTCTTAATTGAGCTTCGGTAAAGCAACAGAGGTTAACCAGGTTAATGTTTCCACTCTAATATAAAAATGTCTGGTCTTTGTAGGGAGACATCAACCTTTTAAATGTTTAAAAGTCCTGTCATTGCATTTTATCATGAATATCAAAGGCATGTTACTTCCGTTTTGCCTAAATTGAATATATAAATTATAATATATATTTTTAAAATTTTTGAGTTACCCAGTTGTCATTCAATTTTACATTTCCTATCTCAAAAAGAAAGAAAGAAAGAAAAAGAAAACACAATTGTCATCAATAATCATGATCATATTATGATCGTGTGGCTTTCCGCTATTTATATTAGCTTAATAATATATATTTTTAAGGCAGGGGTTCCCAATGCCCAGTCCATGGACCAGCCCCATCTTTAGGATGAAGGCAGCACACAAAACTATGCCTTCTCTGGTCCATAGAAAAACCTCTCTCCATGTAACCCGTCCCTTGTGCCCTGTTTTAAGAAATTCTTATCTTGGACTGGTTCTTTTTACTCTTTTACTAACTGTTGTCAACTGGATAGGAAATGTAATAACTATCCCTGGATTTTTCATGATGGCAGTTTGTATAACTCTTTGTATTTAGTAGCTTTTTCATTTTTAATCATATTCCATATAAAATGCAGCAAACATACTAAAGAATATGTATATTTTATTTTCTGTTTGATTGCAGAAATATATTTTCAATACTCCTGAATAAGTGAACCACGTTCTTTGAAATATTGTATTTAGATAACTGATTCTGTTGTTAACAACTGGATCCCCACATTCACTAAATCATACCATAGATGCAGTTTGAGGGGTTGGAACATGTTATTATGATTTGTTATTAGAAAAAAAATATTCATTATTTATGAAGTCCATGTAAAAACATAGTCAACATTTACAATTTTAGCTCTTACATTCAGCATTACCATTTAATAAAATATAGAATTTACTATAGGGAAGTCTCCTGAAAAATCATAACAATGTCCCACTAATATCAGATTATTTAAATACACATGGGCAAATAATATAATTTTCTTTTTAGAAATGTATCTTCTGACAAAAGTACATATGTAATTACTTGTTTTTTCTAAAATTATTAAAATGATTTCTAAAATTATGTTTGGGAACTTTAAGAAAACCATTTTAAATGTCCTAAAAAAAACCAATAGCTTAAATACTATCCAAATTATAAAATCTAGCTCAATATTTCATCAGTAAGGAAAATCATATTTTACAAATAAAACTCTGCATCTATCATATTAAAAATTATATAAAGAAATTCCAATTAAAAATTGTACCAACTTACCTCAGAGGAAGTGTAAGTGATATGTACATAACAATGTGAAGAACGCTGCTGTTACTTAGAAAATCATTAGTGTTTCAGCTTTTGAACTAAATGATCTGCATTACCTCTACAGAATCTTCTATTTCCGAATCAGCCTCTCCAGCCTAATGCCAGGTATTCTGTGTCACCAACTGGGGATCTTACTATCACAAATATTCAGCGGGCTGATGCAGGCTATTACATCTGTCAAGCACTCACAGTTGCTGGAAGTATCTTAGCAAAAGCTCAGTTGGAAGTTACAGATGGTAAGAAATAACCTTCATGATGTATTGTTATTGTTGTTATATATTGCTTTATATATGTTTATGATCCCAAATCATGAATTGTTGTAGATATAAACAATTATTTGGATTGACCAAAAGACAGGATGGTTTAAATAAGAAGTTATCAAATCAAGGATAATTGAAACCAAATACCCTGTTCACTCATTCACCCACTCTGACAAATGTTAAGATAAGTGGAGATTCTTTAGAACATCTCATATGCAGATAATTATTTCCTAATGGTATTTATTTTTGATAGCTACTGAAAGTATTTAATTACTGGACGAACTAAACTAAAGAAGTGATCCCCATATTATATAATTCTAAATCTGCATGTAGCTTTAGTCCAAAGTAAAATCCTATATGTAGTCAATTGTTACAGGAAATATACATATACATCCAGATATACATGTCCTATGACAAAGGGTAGAAATTATTTTGGACACAATGAATATCTAAATGTGATAAATAATGAAACCCACATTTTTATGGCACTGTTGATGCTGTAGGAAATCCCAACAGCCCACTGTATATTATGTGTAAGGTGATACATGACCTCCTTTTTATTCTGAAAACTATAACTTACAACCAGAAAAATGAAGTTAACTTCATTCACTTTCCTACAGGCTGACAAGCAGTAGTTACAAGTTATTAGTTGCAAGGCCTAGATATTAAGGTAAAATCAGATTTTTCCTATTTTTCCTATTAAAATTAATAAGGATATATCCATTTTAGGAGCTGAATTTCTGATCCTTTACTTAAAGTAGAAATATAAATAGTTAACACACTTCCTTTTTATAGCACTTTGCATTACAATATTTGCTATTGTTAAGTCATTTTAAACATTATATATTATAATTTCTGGTGAGGAATTTTTTAAAAGTTATGGTTAATTCTTGAAATCAAAACTTTAGTGAAAGAAGATTGAGGCATTTATCTAGATAAGGCAATTTAAAAAGTAATATAATTATGAATCACTCTATGGGATATTTGAGAATCTGCAGTTTAAGTGTAAAAGTCATTGAGCTGCATTTAGCATAGTTGTCAAACATTTTGATAAATTATCTTTATAGTGTATTGTATAATATTTTATTTTATATGTTTATAAAAAAATTTGGAAGAGCATTCTTTATTTTAATTTTTTTCCAAAAAGTTTTTATTTTGTCATTAATATTAAAATAATTCAATGCAAAATTGATTAGTATTTCTGGGAATTCTGAGCCATCTGTTTTTGCAATCTTATTAAATACCTATTTGGCAGACTGCAGAGGTTTTACTATTAAAATGTTGTGTTAAAGATTTTGTTTCATAAGTTCTGTAGATACTCAGATGTTTCATTAAAAATAGCAAGGCTAATTTCAAAACATCTGGTTTTTCATAAGCAGATATTCATCAAGATTTATAGGTAAAACTTCAACAGAATTTCTGGTGGAATGAATCAGGGCTTTCTTTTCTCAAAATACTATAATGCCTGACTAAAAAAGATCTTATTGTTATGTTTTTAAAAGTATGCAGCTAAATGCTGAATTTTAAAGTTAACTATAGCTATGTTCCCACTTTAAATATTGCCTTTTTCATTCTTTAGGACAAAATTTTGATACAGTTCATTTTTATATGAAGATTACATAGACATTTAAAACTAATGGAAGAGCAGTATTTTTAAAATATGTCCCTATGTTTCTGTCGTAATATTTCATTCACTGATTAGTAGTTCAGCTGTAATTAAAATAAACAGTACATTCAGTTATTGGTCAAAAGGACATGACATGTTAATGTTTGCAAATGGTACTGGAAGAAAGCTTAAATGCAATAGGATGTGAACAGGGTAAATCAAATTAGACACATGAGTTATTAGAATTTTATTATCTTGTAGGATTTATTTCTGAGAAACACAAACAATAATCTATCAACTTCTATTTATGTATTTGTTAAATTTATATGCCGATTGATTCGCAGCATGTTAAATGTTAAAAACAAATTTAAAATAAAAATCCCACCTAGGTTAGTTACTCTTGCCACCTTTTATCTTTTTTTATTTTCTTTTATTTATTTATTTGATTTCTATAGCCATCTACAAACACTTTTTAAAGATGGATTTATTTTAAAATACTATATAAAGAATTTCATATAATAAAGATTACATTTCATTTAGCTTTTCTATCTACTGGAATTTTATGGAGCTACTAGAAAAAATGTAAAATAAAATAATTTTATAGAAAAGTTTTGTTAATTTGTCAAAACAAATCAGTAGTTAAGGATACAGCAATCTGTACCAATGTCTGAGCACGGTTTACAAAACTTTAAATAGTTTCAAAATTTGTATAAAAATGTCTATGAAGTATGTTTCTTTTCCTACTCCATCAGTGAAACATTAAAAAAACCCTAAAATACATGTATTTTCCCCCTTGTTTGTTTTTGTATAAATATATACAATACATGAACTGCCATATTAAATGCTTGAACTCATTTTGAAAGTAATTGCTTATATAAGATAAATAAAGGAACTTGTGGCTTTGTCTTAAAGAGTAGCAAATACATTGCTTAAAGAGTAGCAAATATTAAAGAGTAGCAAGTACATTGACAAGTCATAGTGATAAGATTATCACATTCCACAAATTTATTAATATTCAATTATATTTATACAACTATAATAAATTTTAGGGTTGTTACATTTCAACAAGACTCAGCTGTTCATCTGGAAAGGGTTTATGTGTATATTTTATTGTTTTAATCAATAAAAACTAATATATTTAATCATTACTAAATATCAATTAAAATAATACCATTTTCTATATGTTTTTGAACAATGACTGTGTTGATCGTCTTCTAAAATAATTAGTTTTGTTTTCTTCTTTTTTTCTGAGTAACATTCACAATAATAATAAATTACAATTATATTAAAAACAATCAACAATCTTGCAATATATTTTTTATAAAAATACCTTGCAAGATATATGAAATAGCTCAGTTTCAAAATGAAATATATAAGTAGTCTTACATGTCTAAATCACAAAAATTTTAATACTGTCTTTTAAGGATATAAATACATTTTACAACCTTGTTCAAAGACATTTTCTGAAAACCATACCCTTAATGATGGCTTATATTCATTTTAATAAATAGTTTATTAGTTTCTCAATGTATCCATTAATCCAGAAGGCTATGAATATGAAAAATGTTCCTGACATTCCCAAGAAATGTGCATTGTACATTCAGAAAATATTCTGGAAGTAATTTCATGGATAATATTCCTCATGTATGTATAGGTCACTTTGGAGCTAACCATATTTTTACAAAGTCACAAAATATGTATTCATTTGTATTTATATTTTTCCTTGATTTACTGCAAAAATATTTTTAATATCGAAAAAATATGTTGCAGAATCCTAATTGTAGAACTACTAATGGAATTTAGATTGCTTTTTAAAAATTTGCTTTCATTATTTTGCAATATATTTTATGCTATTAGGATTTTGATACAAATTCTATAAACAGGATTTGTAGCGCTAATTGAAACTGTTTTCTTTTTTATCTTTTATTCCTTCATTTTATATTATACAAGATATGTAATTGTACAACTTAACAAACAGTTGTTGAAGGGATTACTTAATTCAATAAACAACACAGTAATAAACAAATTCAATAAACAACACAGTAATAAACAACATAAATATATTACTTCTTTAGAAAACTTTTTTTCTTTTCTGTGCCTTTGAATCATTGTTGACTAGTTCCTGCAGTTTTCTTGGCAAGATTTTGGAAATGGTTTTCCATTGTCTTCTTCCAGTGGCTGAGAGGGTGTGACTAGCCGAAGGTCACTCAACTGACTTTGTGCCTAAGGTGGTATTAGAGTGCACAATCTTCCAGTTTCTTGTCTACTGCTTTTACTACAAGCAACTACTAATATGATTTTCTAGAAAATGTTTTTCAAAATAGTGGCATCTGAGTCTGAATACTAGAGGATATCTACTAATATATGCACATATATATATTTAAATTCAGTTTTAACAGATAGGCCTCCACCCATCATTCTCCAGGGACCTGTAAACCAGACATTGTCAGTAGATGGAACAGCTTTACTGAAGTGCAAAGCTACTGGTGACCCAATGCCTGTTATCAGCTGGCTAAAAGAAGGATTTACTTTTCTTGGCAGAGATCCAAGGACATTTATGCAAGATCAAGGAACTTTGCAAATTAAACCTTTACGGGTGAGTATATGTTGTAAAACATATTTACCTTTCTGAAATCAAGAGAGTAATAGTTAAATGAGAGCTGCTTAATTATTTATTGATTATACATTACATGTAGAAGTTTAGGCATTCTGGGTTAATAAAATCCCATAATGAACAGAAGCTAACACAATTTCTGAAATATTTATTCCAATTTAAATGCCTAGTTACTCTGTCTGTGTAGTTCTTTATGTGCTCCAAGTAAGAAAAACTCTGCATATGCATATGGCTATTGCAGAGATTTGGACAATTTTGCTATTAAATCAGTGCTCCTCCTTTTCCTCCTAATCTCTTATGCCTTCCTTTCTTTTTCTTTAAGTGAAGTTCTTGGTAAGGTTTTACAAAATGGAATTTCTAGGGCTATTGTGGAATTAGCCAGGTTAAAAAAAATCTATAGGGAACAAATACTCTGTCTCACAAACTTTCAGGTTATGATTTTGTTATATTTACTTTCAACAGCCATGTTATCCTCTAAGCAGTGTTCTAACTAGCAATTTTAACTGTTAAGTAAAGTAAATAGTTACTTAGTATGTTGAAATCAAGGCAATAGTTTAAAAAGTAAGAGAAATCTTCAATGGAACTGATCAAATTTTGTTTATACCTGCACAGCAGAAGTTTAATACAGATGATTTGATGAAAAATATAGCTGACACTGAAATAGTTATTCACAAATCCAGTATAACCAAAGTAAGTGTTGGCTATAGCAGTGGTCTCCAACCTTGGCAACTTTAAGACTTGTGGACTTCAACTCCCAGAGTTCCTCAGCCAGCTTTGCAAAGCTGAGGAACTCTGGGAGTTGAAGTCCACAGGTCTTAAAGTTGCCAAGGTTGGAGACCACTGGGCTATAGAACAATTATTTGCACAGAAGAGTTGACAACATAAAAACCACTGTCCAACTTTATCACAAAAATGATTTTCTAAACTATCCAAAAGAAAATCTTGAATCTGAAATATGGTGGAGCAAAATTTGGACAACGTGAAACAAAAACTGAACTCTGGCCACATCTTTTAAAAAAGGAAAGAAACATTTTGAAATAAAAAGAGCAAAGCATTTGCTGAAAAGAACACTGCCAACCATTAAATACACTGATGTCTCTGGTATGTGTTAATAAACTGTAACAGCCAGCTGTATAGGAAGTATTTTCATGGGTAGAAGAAAAATGCATTCAACTAAAAGCTCAAATATATTTTGTCCCATAACCACTGAAGAATTGGCGTAAAAAGTGACTGGATTTTTCATCAAGATAACAATCTGCAATATATCTCTCTCCAAATCAGCTGTAAAACACTTACAGCAAAAAAGATGAATATTTTTGAGAGACTTTCAAAGCCTCCAAGTTGAATATACCTAAAAATCAAAGAGCAGAGTTAAAAATTCAATAAATGAATAAATCAATAGCAAGAATAAAAATAATATTAGTTGGCCATAGGAAATTTTTGATGCTGTTTTTTTCCCTGTTGGAAGCTGTCCTTTGTCAAAGGAGACATTACAAAGTTTACCAATGGTGTTCCATCTTTTTACCTGCCATATTCAGTGTGTCCTCATTTGTCTCTTTAAACAATTGTATATACTGTAAATAGTAGCCATGCATTTAAACTGTTAGAAAGTTGAGGTGGTGTAAATGTAAAGGTTTTCAACTTCTGTTCATTTAGGAAACTGGAATCAAAACAATTTTATTAGGATATGCAAAACTGCTATTCAAGTAAATACATTTGAAGTGTTTTGGCTATGAAATACCTATTCAGTTCATTTGCAGTGTGATTACTATTAGGAGACAACCAAGAAGCAAAACACAACACACAGAGGCTTAGACATTCAACAGTAGTTTATATACAACCTGTACAGAAATATATGTGGTAGCAAATACCTGACAAGCAATAAATCTTCTTCTTAACACTACATGGAGAACTTAGCAATGGATCCTGGACAAAAGGAGAGAGATACGCAAAGAAAAAGAGATACGGTCTCTCATGGCCTCCTTTATGTAGACAGCTTTTTAAAGTGGCAATAACCTGGCTTCTTAAAGCGGCAATACCTCTGCTGACTCATACTCATTTCATCATCTTAATTTACAGCCTTACATTGGCTGGTCAGCTTTAAATCATCATAACCCTGACACCTATGATCATGCAATCATGCAAAAGAAATTTGTATCACAACTATGGAAGGAAAATTGCACTTTTTCTTTAATTCAGGCTGCATATAACTATTTCTAAATAGCAATTCATAGTTATTTACAGCCATGTCTAAGAGGTTATATTGTCCCAACAATCTGGACCCCATTTTACTGAACTCTCAAGGATGGAAGGCTGAGTCAACCTTGAGCCTGTGAGATTCAAATTGCCAAATTACAGGCAGTCGACAGTCAACAAAAGTAGCCTGCAGTACCGCATTCTTTCTGCAGCTCTTTATACTGCTTACTTTGTTCTGAATAAAATAATGTTTTCCTTACTTTGAGGTAAAATGGACAGCCTATAAATTTTATAATTGACTGACTGAATGCATGCAAGTATATATATGTATATATATATATATATATATATATATATATATATATATATATATATATATATATATATATATATATATATATATATATATATATATATATATATATATACATTGATTAAACTGTTACAAACAATATTTTATTCAATATAGAGAAGAAAGTTTGTGAACATTAACGTATAAATATAAACTAAGTAATAGGTATGGAACACGAGAGAAAATTGAAATGACACAAGTTTATTGATAGACAAGAATCAATAGTAAAACATCAGTAATTACCTCAACATATGATAAATCCCACTTGTAAGTTGGGAAGAAAGAATTTGCTTAGCTACAAAGTAATTAATGGCTTATTTTCTGCACTGAAACTCATCTACATGCCTTTTTTAAATCAATTCTAATGTTAATTCTGCTTCAACCCTTATTTCTAAGCTTTTTTAAGTGGGCTATGTGATTCAGGTAGGCTACATAAAATAAAGCTGCCACATATTTATCTTTTGTCCATAATCCTGTGCAGTTGTCCAAGACATCATTTATATATTCTTGAATATCTTTGCTTTTTCCAAGTTTCATGTAATGTAGTTTCATTTAAAATAACAACCTATTAGTCAATCTTGTTCTTTATAAATTTCAGGATACCCCCCGCCCTTTCTTTTTTTTTCTTTTGTTATGTGTACCTATTTACCCTGCTATTAGTAGACCTGTAGTATATAATACTTGCTAGCTTTGTTTATTTCAATCTTTAGGATGTCATAGAAGTCTCTTTGGTAATGGTCTCCTTTAAATCAGCTTTTTATGCTTTATACTTCCACAGTTGACAATTTGAATTATTCAGTTTCATTTTTGAGACTGTGGGATAATCATTTTTATATACTTTCTTTAAAAAAAAATAATTCATAAGTATCAGGGATAGGTTTGTTAAATGTATCTAGAAATGTGTTCAACAGAATTTTAACTCGACATATATGCAAGATGACAATCAGCAAAATTTGGTAGTGCCATTTATGCTATCCTCACAGAGAGAAAATGTGACAAGGTAAAACATTTGAATCATGAAATTTTTGCATATATGTGGAATTAAAGTTGATTGCTAAATAAAATAGGAATTTTGTAATATGGAAGCATATCATGCATGAAAATAAAGATAATGCTTACCAAATAATTCATAATTGAGCCAAGAGTAATGCAGGAATATGTGATGATTCTTTTGTTTTTTAATACATTAAAATAAAAATATGTTAGGACAGTTTCTGTTGATGCTAAAGGCATATGCTCTTGGAGACTTCAAAGTATGCTTATTTGAGAATTAGATGATATTTTGTGTTGTTTATAGAGAACTTATTCCTACGAAATATTAAATTAATGATATAATTTAATGGAGCATATAAATCTGAGTATTAATTAATCAATACCATAATATTTGTGACTGACAGGGGAAATGGTGTGAACAATTACTACATACTCATAAATTATGAAATTTCCTATGGCCAACTAATATTAAAGCATAGACTAATTTGTGTACTTTAAAATAGTTATTAAGTAAATAAAAGGGGGAATTAAAATGTGATCTGATAAATGTGTTAAACTGAATCTTGTCTGCTGTAGAAGTTGAATATCAAAAGAAATAAAAATGGTTGTTTATTAGTTTGAGTTTGTCCACTTTGTTACTACAAAAATGAGTATTGCAGAAGAAACATAAAGGTAAATGGGAAGAAGGAATTTAAGTGTGCATAATAAAACAAGTAGAGATGGGATCAATAATGGGTGGGTGATGAATAAAAGTGGACCAACTAGAAAAGAGAGTAACAATATATGAAAAGGAACTTACATTTGTAGCTCAGAAAGACAAAGATATGACTCATAAGATAAACATTTGAAAGAAGAGAGGCATGAAAAACCAAATGCAGCAAATGTGAATCAATATATGAACACACTAGGAGCAATTATTGAGAACTATGAAATGGTATACAGAGAACTATGAAATGGTATAAATTAACTTGAGTTATACACTATTTTATTAAGCATTACTATTTCTTTTCTATTTTGTATATCAAAACTTACCTTAAATGTGGTAAATTGGTGAAAATACAGATTTTTACATTATATTTTGCTATAATGAAATAGCACCTATATTTTAAATATGAACTTTAAGTAAAAGATTTTTAATATTTCAATATAATATTTACAATAAATTTATGCTACTCAAATATAAATATATATTTCAATATGATATTTCAATATATTTCCTTGAACTCTTTAGTAATATTGGATTAGATATAAACGAATCAAGCAACTGAGTAGCAACAATTAAACAACAAATCAATAACAGCATATGTGATCTAAATATAAACGCAGCATTGTGTCATCTCTTCTTCTACATATACATGTGGCAACTTTTGCAGTATTAGCTCCATTATTATAGAACTGAAAAGCCTTCAGAGAGAAGCCAAATAGTTTCCTTGCTAGAATAATGCTGTTACTTGCCACTTTTTATTTTGAAGGAATAAATATAAAATATTAGATTAAACTTTGAAAATAGGTGAACATTATTAACACTGATAATTAATATATGGATTAATCATAGGAATTATAAATGACTTATTCAAAGTGGAACAGAAACAAATTAGAATATGCTTCAAAAGATAACTATTCTAAGGACTGATTTATTTCATTAGCAGAACTCTTACCATACTTAGACCAGTCAATGAAAGAATGATGAATTTGTTGTTTCTCTGGTCTATTCAACAAATTGAGAACATTTTTTGTATGAAGATAATAGGATTAAATTCAATGTTATAGGGAAGATAATTTAACAAATGTATATTATTGCAGTTTAGGATAAATATATACATACATATTCTGTTTAATTGGTATTGTGTGAATTGTTATACTGTTTATAATTTACATCGAATGCATACACTGAGGAATATGCTATATACCGTATGCCCCCAGTTGCAACTTCAGCTGAGATGACCTATATATTTGCTTAAATAATCATGTATAAAAGCAATTATATAATTCAGAAATACAATTATTTGAATAAGCAATTTGCTCTCACACAGTTAAAAGGAAATGAATGTGTGTGTTATATGGACCTAGATTAACAATGTACTTGAATAGTCATGGTTTCCCAACAATTAGCAAGCACATGTAGATATCTACACTTTTACTGATGTCTTTCTTAATTATATTTTATTTCAAAAAATTATTATATTATTTCCCTTTAAAATTGTAACTTTAAGCTAGTGATAGTAGTTATGTGGGACATAACTTGGGATGGAAATGTGAAAATGTGTCAAATAAAATTAAGGAATTATTTAAAATTACTTAATGAAATGCATAATTATTTTTTGTGAAATATTGTATTCCACTTTATAATAATTCTGAATCATGCTACCCTCTTAGTTCACCACAAAAATATTTAAAAGATTAAATGAATATTTCAAGCAAAGGATTGGTATTTCTTATTTCCATGTTTTTAGATATCTGACATGGGCACATACACTTGTGTTGCCACAAGTTCAAGTGGGGAAACATCTTGGAGTGCTGTGTTGGATGTTACAGGTAAGTTATATCTACATAATACAGAAAACCAAAACAAAAATGTATTACAATTAAATCAGGATATTCAATACATTATCATTGATTCTTATTAACGTTTTTTGTTAAGTGCAAAATTTAATATTGCACAAGTCTTCTACACATATAATGAAACTTTCCCATTTTCTACTCCCCCTCTAGCTTTCTAGCTTCAAGACCCAGTGGTAGAAGCTATTGTATTGGCAAAAGTTAATTCAGAACTCCATAGACAGCGCAGCAAGCTAAAAGCACTGTCTATAATAGCCATTGTGGCCCTTCAGTATATTGTCCCTCCTAAAAATTGTATGCACAGAAGGAAATATTAAGTCCAGAGACAATGGTGTCCATAACAGACCAAAGTGACATCAACATAGCAATATATATGGGATTATGTCATCACTCCCAAAGATGCAGTTATATACTAATATCACAATATCTAATGCAAATGCGTAAGTCACTGAATTTATTTCACATCATCACACACATGTAAAATCATTTTGCAGTATAAGCTAATGCATCCATATTTTTTTTCATTTTGGGGACGTTTGAAGGAGATGGTTTAAGGACAAAATGCTTCATGTTCAGTAGAACATATAAAGTCTATCCTCTAATCAGTTCCATTTCCTATTATGAATAGTTGATGCTTTCTCCTTTAAGATCTACCCAATGAACAGGAAAACATGGATCAAAAAAGTTAGACCCATCCATCTAAGTGATGTTTTAATCCTGATATCCCCAGACAAGCATAGAAGGAAAAAATATAGTTTTAAACATGTTTTCTACTCCTAATTTAGCTGACACTCTCATTATATGAGAAAAACGTTCCTATAAACAGAAGTAGTTGGAATAGCTTTTTCTTTTTCTCTTGTTTCACTTGTTACTATATTGAATGATAATGAAATGAAATGATAAAATATATTATACCTGCAAATTACTTATTTTAATATGTTGTGCATCTGTTTAAAGCATTTATATAACTACAAAATTATTTAAAATAGATATTTTAATCATCCTTTAGTAAACAACTATAAACGGGTAAAATATAATCAATTTTCATCCTGTAGAATTTGGGGGAGCAGCAGTTAGCAAAAATTATGATTTAAATGATCTTCCTGGACCACCATCCAAGCCTCAGGTCACTGATGTCACTAAGAACAGTGTCACCTTGTCTTGGCAGCCAGGCACACCTGGGAACTTACCAACAAGTGCATATATCATTGAAGCTTTTAGGTAGGTTAAAATGTATTGCTGCTATGATCCTTTGCATTTTTGAACAAAATTCATTCCAAAGTTTTAGTTAATGTCAGAAATTTAAAATCATGGGTGTTTTTAATGTAATGAAATTATATTTTGTTTTACATAGTTTTAAAATGTTTCAAACATTTGATATAAACTTTTCATACGCATTTATAAGGGTAAAACTATAAAAATCTTTAAAATGTATTTTATCAACATGTTGATAAGGGATGAAGAACAAAAAGGGGACTTAGTGTAACAATTTTTCAGTATTCTTTGCCAGTATCAATCAAATCTATTGTTGGATTATAGCACTGACACCTCAATAATCACTTATCTTTTTTTATTCTTTTAAATTTATTTATTGATGATGTGGACTGAGTATAGAGAGAGCTATCTCCTGTTTACCTAACCTTTTTGTGTTACCGGATAAGATCTACCAAGATGGACTTTTCTATGATTGAAGGACCAGATTAGAGAGAGGTCATCATGAAGCAATCAATCTATCTGGTCACTAAGAGTTGACAACAATGTGATGCTACATAATTAATCATATATTAGGAGTTTTGTGCTTTTAATTGATTTAGAATCTATCATAGTTTCTGTGGGTCTTGCTAGCGCATTATATGATGTCTTTATTTGCCTTTAACAGCAGATAGAAACAAATCCTTGACCATTGTTTTAAGGTATGTGATTTTAGCTATAGTATTCCAATTTATTTTCATTTCAGCCAGTTGGTGAGCAATAGTTGGCAAACAGTGGCTAATCATGTTAGAACAATTCCTTACACTGTGAGAGGACTCCGTCCAAATACCATATACCTGTTTATGGTGAGAGCTATCAATTCACAAGGATTGAGTGATCCCAGCACCATGTCAGATCCTGTCCGAACACAAGGTAACTGGAATTTATTTCTCAGGCAGCCTATTTGAAGTTGAATATAATATAAAATGCTTATGCAAATGCAGAAATATTATATGTGAATGTATACCCCTGGAGTGTATATGGAATATGTGTACACAGTAGTGCATACAGATACCAGAGTTGGAAGGGACCTTATAGGTCATCTAGTCCAACACCCCCTCCCCCCGCCCAAGCAGACCCTACACAATTTTGGCAGACCAGTCTCTTCTTGATGAGTGATGAAGCTCCCACAACTTCTGAAGACAAGCTGTTCCATTGGTTGATTGTTCATACTGTCAGAAAATTCCTCATTTCTAGGTTGAATCTTTCCTTGTTCAGTTTCCATCCATTATTCCTTGTATGGCCTTCAGGTGCTTTGTAAAATAGCTTGACCCCCTCTTCTCTGTGACAGCCCCTCAAATATTGGAACACTGCTATCATGTCTCTCCTGGTCTGTCTCTTCACTAGACTAGCCATTTCCAGTTCCTGCAACCGTTCATTGTATGTTTTAGCCTCCAGTCCCCTAATCATCTTGGTTGCTCTTTTCTGCACTCTTTCTAGAGTCTCAACATCTTTTTTTATAGTGTGGTGGCAAAAACTGGATGCAATACTCTAGCTCTGGTCTTACTAAGGCTTTATATATATATGATCACCGAATGAGTGATCCTAAAATATAAAACTTGAAAAAGAAGGAACATACAGGTGAAAAAAAAATGTAAAAAATTAAATTAAAAAGCAACTTACTTAGGCAAGGCATGATTTGCTGCTCCCAGATCAGGAGGCGGGAGAATCATGTGCCTCCTTTGCATACGGAATTTTTCACCTTTTAACCCTTGCTTAACTCTTAAAAGGCGAAAAAATCCTTATGCAAAGAAGGCCCATAGTTATCTCGCCTCCCCCTACAGTTAGCACTAAGCAGACTCAGAGTCACTGTGACTTGGAGTCTGACAGCAACAACCTTGGCCTTTTTAATTATTTTAAAAATTCTTTTCTTTTCCTCATGAGACTGGTGAGGCCCTGCCTCCCCTGACTGCACGTCCCTGTCTAAAACCATATAGCAACCACCTGGATAGCACTACTGCCAATAATCATTGGGTAAAATATTTATGCTATGTTTATGTGCAGAATATTGTTACAGGAACACAAGGACTTTATACAATGGTTGCATAACATGTGTGTACAAATTCAGTTTCCATAACTGAAGAATAACTAATCAATTATAGAAGTTAACAAATACCTGGAGACCCACATTTGCATATAATTATTTGAGATCCTTATATTGTTATACAGTTATATATTCAACTGCTTTAAACTTATCAAATTTGATACTCAATGCATACTGATGTGAAAATTTTGCCCTGGTACTCATAGTTTGCTTGATATTCATGCACAAGCTAGAATTTGTCAATATCAGCTGTCCTGTGACTCACTACATTATTCCTAATGGGAAACAATTGTTTGGTACTCATCGTTTTTGGTACTCAAATTAATGATAAATTCCAAAGTACCACTGTATTTAGAGGCTAGAAATGTCTCACAACATCTTAGAAAAAGCTGGCTATCTGGACACTATTCAGTAAGGATTCAGGTCTTCTTATGGGATTCAGATTGCATTGATCACACTCTAAGATTACCTGTTTTAGAACTTAGGTTGAACTCATGACATTTATAGGCCTCTTGGTGGCTTTCAAAATGTTCACAATAGTATCTGGCTGACTGCCTGCAGGGAGTAAGGTTTGAAGGCATTCTTTTATAGTGATGTGGCTGCTGTTTCGTCAGTCGACATTTCAATACTATTTGAAAAATATATGTGTAGTATGTATTAAAATAAATTTACTGCCACTATATAAATCCATGTGTTCTATCTAGACCAGAATCCAATCCCACTACTACATTGTATGACAATAAACTAATTTCAGTAAAATCATTTAAGAGAAGGTTATTATGCTTTCAATCATCATAATAAATTGATTTAATTGACTCTCCTTAGTAAGATAATAACTTATTGATGCACACCAATATGTTTGACCTGGCAGATATTAGTCCACCAGCACAAGGAGTGGATCACAGACAAGTCCAAAAAGAGCTCGGTGATGTAATTGTGCGACTACATAATCCTGTTGTGCTTACCCCTACAACAATTCAAGTGACCTGGACGGTAAGACATTCGAAAAATGTATAGTAAAATGCCTGATTGTTCTTAATATTTTCCTTATTCTAATCAGTAATTGAAATGGTACTGTGATATTTTTATATTTACTTTATTTACAATTAAATTCTATGGGTTTTCTCTTGACTGGAAGTCTGTTTTATGGTCTTGAATGTTATTTATTCTCTGAGAATTCATTTTATTTTTAGACAGTTGATTTGGTAAATGGCAGAAAATACCACTCCCACTTTCTTTTCTCTTTTACTTTATGTCCTTGGAAATCATCTGAGATATAGATAGATAGATAGATAGATAGATAGATAGATAGATAGATAGATAGATAGATAGATAGATAGATAGATACCAAGATACCCAGGAATCATTTCATAACTGTGGAAAACAAAAAACAAATCTTATTTAATCCTATTTTTAAAAACATTTCTTCTTACACAGAAATTTTGCTATTTTATTTATTCATATTCAGTCTTTAGATCTTAGCTATACTCAGTTTATTTTTTTATATGATTTTGATACAGGAAACAAAAAACCAGTTTTTTTAAAAAAAATTATATTCTTTTTTCCCCCTCCTCCTCTTCCTGGACCTCTTATAAATTGAATCATCTAGACTCCTCCTAACTAAGTTTGATGCTAAGATACATATATAAGGCAGTTTTTATTCTGCTTGTAGATGACCTGTGGTGGATCTTGAAGGTGATACTGTATCATTGACTTGTTGACAGCCTTCAATTCTATCAATATAATATATTTCTGGACCTTATTACAGGCTTGGGAATTGAGAGCCCTGTTCCTTCAGGGCATTTCCAGTCAATGTTGGTGGGAGAGAGCAGTCTAATCCTTGACCCCTATTTTTCAAGAGGTCTGTCTTCTCTTTTCTTTAATATATACACAAAGCCACAAGGAAAGGTCATTTGTTGACACGAGGTTGTACATATCTGATTTTGAATACACAAATGAAGTTCTGTTCCAATGTTTGGACGCAGTGTTAGTCTGAATGAGAAATAATAGGCTTTGGCTCAATCCTACCAAAATCAAGTAATTGTGGGTTTTGCATTCCATTGGAGATATTTCATCCTTTAGTCTGAATGAGGTTGCACTATTACATTTGGATTCAGTATACAATACAAGAGGAGCATGATGGCTCAGTGGTTAAAGACAACTGGAAAGGAGCATCTGCACCCTAGGATATCTGCCCATCTCATATGCTTTAACAGGAATATTCAAGACCCAAGCTCATATTTAAGACCCAAGCGCTATACGAAGGTCTGCATTCTCATTTGTCCCAGCTGCTGCCCACCTAGCAGTTCCAAAGCATGCAAATGTGAGCAGATAAATAGGTACCACTTCAATGGGAAGGTAACAGGGTTCTATGCACCCCAGTATATTGGCCACATGACCAAGTTAGTGTCTTTGGACAATGCTGGCTCCCTCGGCTAAGAAACTGAGATGAGCAGTGCCCCTAGAGTTGGACACAAGTAGATAGGGGAAACCTTTACATTTACCTTTATATAATTTAGGGATCTTTTGGGACATATAACTCCTTCTGAGACAGCAGGTGGCAGCCGTTGCAGGGTGTGTTTGCACAATTTCATTTTAGAACTCGATTGAACCCAGTATATTTTAATGCTGGCCATCATTTTATTGTTTTTTGTAACTAGATTTAATGTTGTGGTTTTCTTTGGTGTTTTGAACTTATCTTATTTTAATTTAATATAAATGGATATTGCATGTTAGTTAGACCCTGGCATGACATCTTTTCTTATGTTGTTAGACAGATTAATAAGAGACCTAGCATAGTTTTAATGGGTTCCATTTGTTTATTGTGCTTTTGTATTTATATCATTTTGTTTACCCAGAATTGTAGTAGTTAAGATGGTTGATCATCTAAATTTGCAAAATTAATTAATTATGATGACACCTATAACTTGGCAGATATAAGACAATTGGTAAACTGATTTCTAGGGTTCTTACTGCAGCACATTTTATCATTTGCTGCAAGTGTTAGTTTCAGTGAATTGGTAAGCAGATTGTTTTTAGATATATTTCAAGTATACTATATTTAACTGAAAGAAATACAATACTTGGGTTTCAAGAAATAATTTATTCTTTCTTTATAACTTCATCCTTTGATAGAGTAACAAATTCTTAGAAAAGCAGTTATAACTGAGATCAATTTTCCACTACAACCTCTATTCAATAAAATGTAATGATAGTTATATTTTCATGCTGGGCATCATTAGTGATGCTTTTTGGCTGTCTTGTATGCTTCATCCTTTTGTCAGTTTGTCAGAAACAATACATGAAATAAAAAATACACATTTTATATGTGTCTGACCTGCATATCTTGGACAGTATATACTGCTACATCGATTTGTTTTACAAAATAAATTTAATAACATTATTAATTCATTAAGGACAGAAATGGGTAGCCACAATTATAAAATTTGCAAGCTGGCTTAAGAATAATTTGGTTCCATCTGCCTTTAAGCTATGCAAAGCCAACATTCTGAAAACATTGCTTTATGGAACTCTATTATGTATTATAAGAAGATTCAATCTTTCATTGCATACAGTCAAAATTTCTTTAAAAAGAACACTGTGTATCCCTCACTCAGCCTTCAATGTTTAACGTGATTAGTTTTGGGATGCATCTCTTTACATGATATACCTGAATCCATTCTGAGAGGTCAAATAGATCAAGATCTGGTATATGGTGGTCCATCAATATCAGCTTCAATAAAAACTTAGTAGAATTGTATTAGAGTAGAATCATCCCTTCACCCAAGTTCTGGTTTGTTTTTTTCTCTTTAAGAGCATGCATGTTCCATATAGGGATGGTTTTTTTCCCCTCTGGCTTAAATCAATGTGTTACCCATCAGGGCAACAACTTCTATCTCTCATATAGAAATTGCATATGTTAAAATGAAGAGGTAGAATTTGATGCAAACTTTCCACTATAATTCATGAAGCAAGTTACTAGCATTTTTAATCCTGTCAGAAAAAGGAGATCACTGATTTACTTTTAAACAATAAATTTAAAATAATAAATTTACTGTTACATTTATTATTTTTAGATTTATCAAAGTTAATAGTGAAATTTCTACTTGTAGTTTTGTTTTTAGTTCTCTCCACTCCTCACCCCCACCCCCAGTCTCTATGACATATATACAGTTCATCACATGTTCTTTTCTTCCTATCCTGATAATCACCCAGGCTTTTTCTATCTAGCTATCATCTAAATACTTACTTACATGAGATATGAAAAAGAACAAAAAACAAAGCTGTATATTATACCATTTATATAGTATAAATTTATATTTATACCAGCACTATTCACTATACCTTTCCATGCTTTTCTTCTCCCTTTTCTTATAAAGCATGCTTGACTTCATAAACTACTTAAAATTTACCCTTTGGTTTTATTAAGAGCAAAACTTTCTATTTCTAAGTATATCATCAGTTCCAACCAAATCTTACCTATACCAAGAGCTGTGGTGAACTTTCACCTATTTGCAGTATTTTTTCTCATCATTAGCACAGCATTTTACTTAGAAATCTATTGCTCTGAGTTTATTGTGTTTTTAAAATAAATATGTTTGACTACACTCAGCTTTATTTTTGCTCTGTGAGCCAAAGTTCTTTCTGATTTTTCATTGAGTGATTTAATGAGCCTAGTAATACAATGTTTCCATATTTCACTCCTTTAAACAGCATGCAATTATTTAACTGGCCATTAAATTTTGGTTTCCAATCTCCACAAAATTCATTTTAAAGCTCTGAAATATTTTTACCATTTTTTCTGAGGTCTATTCTTCTCATGACCACACTCTAGGTACTTCAAACTGTGATCTCAAAAACAATTTTATTCTGTTGACACTATTTGCACAACCATTTGTAATTCACTTAAAATATTCTTGTTTCATTTTTATAGTGCTCTTAGTAGACAAGAAGGATTATATGAACTATGCCATCCTATGCCTTTATTTGTAAATGCTCAAGATTCATGATAATACAGTTGTAGATGTTGTTTGCAGTAATTCTTGTCTCTACATATATAAATGGGAAGGAATATCAATAGATGTGATACATTTTGAAGGTTGTTCTGTTGCCAGGATTCTGACAACTCAAAGAGAGTGTGGTATATGAGCAGATGGTCCTGTCATCATAGATTTATTTTGCTTTCTCACAGTAGTGAGTCATCAATAGCCACATTCTTCTTTATATTTTGTGGGACATAATTACAAACCACTCTGTGCTTTAGGGGGCCTACCATTCTGTTGGCAGTTTTACAATGTTCCTACATCTCCTGAAGATTTAAAGCCTATTTCTTCTATAAGGGCTTGAATTTTTATTTATTTGTTTATTTATTTCTAGAGGGCAGAATCTATTGTTTCTATTTGTTTCTCTCCTCCATTGGCTTTGGAAGTTTGTACAGACAGTTCTATTTGTAATGGCTCTTTTTTAATCAGGTTAACTACTGTCTTGTTTCATCAGCCAAACTGTGACCACTTGCTGCTCCAATTCTTTGAGTTTTGATTCAAATACATATCTAATTATTGTTTGGTTGGTACAAAAAACTGCAGGTAATCATGGCAGGATACTTTCAATTAAACCTCAGTTTTATTTCTTTATATACCACTGGTAGAAAAGCTTATATTTATCTTGTTTCTTTCTCAGATTCTTAGTATAATATATCAAATTAGATTATGTGGTAGGTTTTTTTTTTTTTTTACATTTCTATGGCTAATTATATTGGCAAACACCTCTTTAGTTAGTAGAATAACTTTAATTACTCATTGTAATTTATACAGTTTCAAAAATGTTTGTCTCTGTATATGAAAACTGTTGGGCTTATCATTTCATGTACAAAAGGCTACTCAATTAATGATCATTGTTTCCCAAAACTTAGCTCTTTAAGAAGCAAGCCAGATATACTTTTAATCATACTACTATATTTCCCAGCTGTAAATTTGTATCTCTCTTTATGCACAAATAAAATATAGTAGGCATAAATACTCTGGAACTAATAATTTACATTGCTCTATTATATCACAGGAAGGTTTCATAATTTCAAACTTTCATGGATTACCTAAATACTATGTAGGTAAAAGGTAACTCTTATTATTCTGTCATTGATGTTAATACCTCTATTGCAATATAAAGTGAAGAGGAATTGAGCTTTATAATAACTGCCAGGTTCATAGATTCTTATGTCCATTAAACATTTAATTAATGAAACTCAAATGTGTATAAAAACAATTTGTCCTGATTTACAGACTCTTTCATTTGAAAGCAGCTGCTTAATGTTCTTCTGAAAAACACAGCTTGATTCTTTCAGTATTAACAAGCTATTATTGTGAATTATGTCCTCCTTTCAAGGCATAAATTTACTTAAAGTGTATCTAGAGAAGTTTATAAAATGCAAACTTAATATTGTAACATATGCTGTAAGGTTTTTAACAAAGGCAGTTTTGTTTAAATGCATTTATGCCTAGATCTCATAAATCTGGTTTTAGTTTCTTGTTTGTATGTGTTTTTCCTGTCATAAGAACTTGATTCTTCACTGAAAAAGTTAATGAAGAGTATAAAGAGATTTTAGTAGAGGTAACTGATATTGGAAAGATGATTTAACTCTAACCCCGGGCTTATTCTTGATATTGCCCCAAACAATATAACAGTAAATAAATAAGTAAATAAAAGCTTTAATAAACTCAGCAATCTGTGAAGAATGAAAAATACGTTATTTTGTGGAAAATATGATTTATAAAACAAAATTTAAAAGTCCATCATGTGCCTACAGATAGTCTGGATGTGACTTACATAATTCTGATTAATAATTACACAAATACTTTCATTGTTCCTTGAATTCATGGTAACATTATGCAAACACCTCTATAACCTACTTTAATAACTTCTTAATAATAAAAAGAGAATGTGATTGTGGCTTTAATCCAATACATGTGGCAGTTCAGTTCTTTATTGAAGTGTCTAAATATGATAAGTATGGGTGATGTATTTCAAAACCAGCTGAGGAAATGTTGGGCAGAAGGCACAAATTGAGCCATAAACACTCTTGGACATAGCTACCTTTCTCCCTTCACTTCATTTTCAATCACAATAAAGATAGCATTAGTGGGTTCTTTTTCTTATTTCTTTCTTTTTCTTTCGTGTTATTCTCCATTTATTTTTTACCTTTTCACAATTGATTTCCAATTCTGTTTCCTTCAAGATCTTCAAACTTGTAGCCATGCCAGCTATTGTTTTTGTTCAGGACTACTGCTTAAGGCACCCTGCTAGAAACCAGGAAACTCTGAATTCTAATCCTTTCTTAATCATAAACGTCCAATGGATGACTTTGGGCCAATCACCAGGAAACTCTGAATTCTAATCACTCCTTAGGCATGAATGCAAGCTGAATGATCTTGGGCCAGTCCCTCTTTCTCAGTCCAACCCACCTCCCAGGGTTATTGATATAGGGAAAATATGTATGTTCACCATCTTCAGTTATTTATTATAAAGGCAGGATAAAATATGTAAATTTAAAAATACATTAAACAGCATTTGTACAATCAGGTTTTTTGCCTCCAGGCTCTCTTTTGGGAGAAAGCATTGCTGACTCAAAAGTGACCACAGGTCTGTCTACTGTTTCTTATCTGACCAATTTGCTCCCTCACTATTTGTTAATTAGCTGCAGATTATCACTCTAAATGGTGTTAAATATTAATAGTATTAGTATCGTATTAGTATACTTTTGTAATCCTTTATCAAAACTGAACTTTCAAAACTGATAGCCCTGATTAATCCACTATCTGCAGGACATTCTCTTGACTCGTTATAGTAGATGTGGGGTGGGGGGAAGCAACGATTATACCTGGAAACATTTATCTTAACCTCATTCCCAACAGATTTTCAACAGCATAGGTTTATGATTTTTGTCTACACACACAAAATTTATAAGTAATTATCCCAACAAAGTACACTAGTATAGTTCAGCTTGAGGATGACTTACTTCTACCAGATGTTCATTCTGCTGGAAAGATAAGAGAGACTTCTTAATGGCCAACACCATGCTCACTGCTCTCAATCCTGGTCAGCATTATTTAGCAGCCTTGACATCCACTTTATCCTCTCATTCAAATTTTAAATTTTATTTTCACCAGTAAACTTTATATTGGTCTATATCCATGGCTATATTCTTCCTTCAAGATGCCAAAATATGGATCTTTTCATTTTTAATTTTGTCACTCAGCTAGATTTTCATTCATATAAAACCTTTTAATTCCATTGATTGATTAGCTTGTGACTTTTTATTTCTAGATACCATAAATATTATATTTACTATATAAAAATATTATTCCACTACACAAGATTAGTATAGTTCTTAAAAGATTTACCATATTAGTTTTGAAAGCATAATTATAAATTTTAACAATCTTATCAAATATTCATCTTTTACAAATATTTTATTACTTCTGCTCTTATTATTCCCATAATGGCATTGATTGCTTACACTTTCTTGTCATATTTTCTTCCCTCTAACAAAATGTACACACACAAACCCACACACACACATTTCTGACAGAATTGTAGCTTTTCCTTCGTAATTTTGGATTTCATAGTCATATCACAATATATTTGGGGCCTTTTGAAAGACCTGCAAAATGCTGTCAAGGAACTGTACTTTAACATGGGAGGGTCTATTGCATTTAGAAAAAAGACAGTTTGACTCATACCAGAAATGAATGCAAGTTATGATCAGCATCAATACAGCATCACATCCACCTTTGTACTGACCACAATCTTCTCTTTGTGATCAGAGAGGTTGTCTGAACCTTTTTGTATGATAAGTTTCCTTTTAAAAAATTATTCTATTTCCAGATTTCACTCTAGCAAAAAATAACAGACATAAATATCAGTATTGATTCTAATGACTCATTGACTGCACTTCTTTTAAATGTGATCTGAAATATAATTTTGCAGTATGTGCCATTATTACCCATGATACATTTGGGGTATGCTCATGAGTTTAAGTAGTGATTTTGACATTTCTTTTCTTTTCTAATTTTCTAGCTCTCAATGAGATGCATGTTATGTTCTAAAACTATGGTGTTAAAATGTATTTCTTTGTCTCAATATTTTCTGGTTTCTTTACTCATTATTTCATAGTTCCCAATGTCCTATTATAGATATAAGTCTATAAGTAATTTATTACCTAAGCACAAGCTGGTATGCCTTTTGGAAGAGAGATTTCCCCCCCTGAAAGATAAGCTTTATATTATATGTATGAAAAAAATGATTTGCTTGCCTGAAATTCTGGGACTTAATGACCCCATTGGTGATTTGTGAATTCAGTGACTTACCTTTTCAATGACTCACCATCTTTTCTCATAATGTGCTTATTCTGGCAGGTACAGTTTCAGAATTTTGAGGGTAGTGAAATGAGGGTAAGCCACATGCAGTAGAGGCACATTACACACACACACACACACACACACACACACACACACACACAGTTATAAAACATTCCTAGTTGCATTTTTCCTGTTGATCATGCACAAGAAGGTTGATCATATTTATGATCATTTGGAGAATCACAATTATGAGAAAGCAACCAGTTTTTTTAATAAGGCACCTGAAAGAAGTACATTATATGGTTAAAAACACAGTATGAATGACAGCTCAAACTGAGTTAAATTTATTTCTTCCACTTATGGTAGGACCATTTCTGTTAATTTTATTTCAGGTTGATCGCCAGTCACAGTTCATTCAGGGTTATAGAGTTATGTATCGACAGACATCAGGACTGACTTCCCCTTCTGCATGGCAGACTGTGGAAGTCAATGTCCCCACAGAACGGAGTGCTATCCTTATCAATTTGAAAAAGGGGGTTACATATGATATCAAAGTTCGTCCATATTTCAATGAATTTCAAGGGATGGACAGTGAATCAAAATCTGTACGTACTACTGAAGAAGGTAAGAAAATTATGAAAAGAATAATCATAAGTTTGCAATTATTGAGTGTTCTATGCTAATATGCATAAAGTTTTACACAAGCAAAAACAATATTTTCTTCACAGTGTGTAGATACAATAGACAAAGCAGTCACTGATAACTTTGTGAGTATATTAAAAGAGAACTGTATTTGGTTTTACACTTTACACTCTCAGTACCTATTTGCTGGTCCTTTTTTTAAATTAAAAGCCTAGGAGAGTTGATTTGAGAGAATACATATTTTTCTGAGTGTCACATCTTCCATTTGATCCCAGGAAAGTAAAATAAAACAAACAAGCAGTTTAATTATAACAGTCAAAGGGGTAGACTGACCCAGACTGGATCTTGCAACATTATACCTGGGACAGGTATAATTGCCTTCATTCAGGGTAGATAAAGTTCCTTATGAAGAGAAGCTTCAGTTATTCATATAAGAAATTAACATACATTATGAAAAGTGTGGATAAATATTAAAGTTTATTGTGTTCCTTTCACATAATAGTACAATAAGAATTAACAATAGAATCAGGATTGATATTAAAATATTTCTTATATAGTTGTATTATCTTGCGAGTTTTAGTGGTACAAATATGATAATGACCACTATAATGCTTAATATTGTTTTAAAATGAAGTATAGATCTATACTAAAATAAGTGTATCTGGGCAGAAGTTTATTCCTAGTTAATTTTGGATAGTGATAAATATTCTTTAATTCTTGAAGACATTACCTCAAAATTATAGCCGTAGAAATACTATATAAAGGTTTGGGCATATATGGTTATTTTTACCTTCCTCATCTGTTCTTTGGCAACCTAACACTGGGTAAGTGTTAAGGGATATTCTGTGTTTAATTTACTGAAAAGATACTTTTTTTACTAATGATATTGTGTGAAGAAATAGCAGAGGGTAGAATAAATACTGCTCCATAGTTATTTACAGAATAATTGTTTAGTTTGTCACAAATACTATCAGTGTCTTTCTTTTCTTTTATAAATATTGGTTGTCTACTTTTAGTTTTTTTTTTTCTTGCTTTTCTGCTTTGTCCAACTGTCAAGTGCCTCTCTTTATTTTTTTTCTAAGTTGTTCTATCTTGGCTGCCTTTTTTATAAGAAAGTGGTCACTTAACTCTTTGCTTACATGTTAAAAGAACAACAGATTTCTTTATCATCACAAAATCTGTAACTACTGTATCAGCTGTAATATCTGGATAAAGTAGCTTCAATGCTAATTCTTAAAACAAAAGATGTCTTTGTAATCCTGATGAAATCTGTATGTCAGAGTACAAATAGATTCTAATCAGGATGGCTTCCAGGTTAGGACCTATTTGACCACATACACATTATCTGTGTATTCAGGCATACTTAATGTTGGGGTTCCAAGTAACACCCCCCAACATCGTACACAAGAAGCAGAGAAAAATATAACTTAATAATGATCAAACAAATTGAAGACACTAATGTTTTAAATGTGTATTTATTTTCTTCTATTTGCTGTATGACCGCTTACATTAAAAATAAAAACAACAGTTTTTTTTTATTATTCTAAATCTGTATGTTATTTGAAGAGTTGGTCCATTTTTATTGTAACTGCTATTTTCCAGATGAGTAAAGTGGGTAATCTCACATCATTCTACAGCAAAGCCTTTGCAGTCTGTAGCTGTTGTGATATTAATATAACCTTCAGCCACTCTGCTTCTGGGTGTCTCCTTCATTACCACAAAAGACTATAACAAATTGTACTGTCAACAGTTAAATGTCAGGTGGTGGTGGTGTTTTTTTAAACAAAAGCTTACACTATATCTATTTGCATAGGAGCCTATTTATAGACTTACATGTTTTTTAAAAAGGAACCTTTGTTAATTTTTTTTAAAAAAATTATTTAATTATATTTGTAATTATCTTCAATTTATATTTTTCAGGCAAAACTCCAAGATTTGTGTGGTTTATTTTTCAGAAAAAAAAGAGCAGTCTTTTTATAAACATCTCATTTTATATTATTCCCCATGTGTTTTTTGGAAGTACTTTTAATATAAATGTTGAATAACAATTTTGGAGATATTCGATGAAATTCTTATTATTTTAGTACTAGAATGTACATTTCTGTCACAAAAACAGATACCTCAAAATGCTCCCCCAATTCCAAGTAAACAAAATTTTAGAATAAATGCTTCCTCTGAAGCCTATCCTGGCTAATGATTTTAAAACAATTGGCTTCTGGCCCTGTGAAAATGACAAATGGAATTCTGTTTTGTTCCATCTGAAAAAGATGAATAGTGATTTGGCCTTTTTTATATCTGGGAAAAGGAGTTGAGCAATGGAATGATTGACCTGACAAGAAGTAGTCATGGTAAAACCTACAAACCAGTAGCAAGGGAAATGAGAAAAAAGTTTTCAAATGATTGAAGTTTATTTAATAACAGCAACACCTGCCAGCAAAGTATTTTAATTTACACTGAGATAACTGTTATTAGGTATTACTTGTGGGTGAATACAAACAAGGATGCAAATCACATTAGCTAATATGATTTGTATTCCTGTGTCTGCATCTTAATCAACTACTTTGTTTGGATAGCAGGTAGGTTAATCTTTTGTCCCAAAGTTATTCGGTATTCTTTGACTATAAGGCATGCAATTTGGGGTTCTTTTATTTTTATTTCACTATTTGAGTTTTATCTAAACATCTGTTTTGTACTTCTGCAAATCTTCACATTCTACCAAGCCTATGCAGCTGGTTTCTTTTCAGGTACATAGAGAGCCATACATCATTCTGAACTTAGAGTAACAAGTCTTTCAATAGTTCTCCGCAAGTGCATAGCTTTAAGTTAGTTATTTTAACACCAGTTGTGTACCTATTACCATATCTCTCCCCCATTATTTGTTCCATTTTTATAGCCCCTAGTGCCCCTCCACAATCTGTTACAGTTCTGACTGTTGGAAACCACAATAGTACCAGTATCAGTATTTCCTGGGATCCACCTCCTCCAGATCACCAAAATGGAATCATTCAAGAATATAAGGTGAGACTAAACTGCAGGATAAAAAGAACACCTAATGTTGTCCATTATTTCTTCAAGTAATAACAAAGCAAACAACAACAACAACAACCACATGTTTTTTCCTGCTTCTTAGTACTGGAACTTTTGCCTACACAGTTAAATAAGAAATGAAGGCTATAAATAGAAAAACAACATCTTTTGGAGAATCTCTTATTTTATGGTATCCTATTATACAACTGTGCTATTTATAGTATAGGTTGAGAAATAAAATATAATGTTCCAGTGACCACGAGGAGTTCTAAAATATCTGCCCATCCTTATTAACAAAAGAAAGCAATAATCCTTGGGTTAAACCAGGGATTTGTACTTTTTGATAAATTTAGAGAACCCGAGAGTGTCTTTTGCTATTTATCCCTCCATGTACTTTCTGCCTATGCATCAGCTTCAGTCCACTTACTGTTTCCTGGCATACCCAACAGTACATGTTCAAATATATTAAATACATTTAGTGGCAGCATGTTAGCTTTAGTGAACGAAGGATAATAATCTCCCCCTCATATCTGTTTGTTTGTGTGTGTGTGTGTGTGTGTGTGTGTGTGTGTGTGTGTGTGTGTGTGTATTTTGGGAGGGGGTACCTTTGAGTCAGTGTTGACTCGTGGCAACTGCAGGATTATTTAAAGTTTTTGGGAAATGGTTTCCAACTGCATCCTTTCTAGGGTTGAGAGAGAAAGTGACTGGCCAAGATCTCCCAGAAGAAAGATATAAATAGGTATCATCAGTGTGATTTAAATAGAATTACAACATGATTTTGTAATTGTTTTGATTAAAAAAGATGAGTTTTGCCTCTATCAACTCCCCCCCCCCAAATTTTGAGACAAATCCCTTTATAATTTGTATTAAGTTGTTACTTTAGGGTATGTATAGAACATATCTACCTCCCAAAGGAACCAGGTAGAGTATGGTGCAGCCCTTGAGTGGAAGGAGACATATGAAATGATACCCTACCTACTTCATTAGAATTTACAATCTAAACGAATCATACACATATTGCAAGATTTGCCAGAAACCATATTAAAGTAGATATAGGATATAAATGGTTTATATAATCGTTTTAATTATATAAAATAATCTGAGACATGATGCCTATTATTTATATTATATTAAATAATTAATATTTTTGGGATGTCAAACTCATGTTATCAAGGCAGCGTCACATGACATATTGTGACTTTTTCCCTTTTACTAAACCAGGCATGGGTGTGGCCAGCACGTGACAGATCTGGCCTATGGGCCGTGAGTTTGACACCCCTGCTTTATGCAAAAAAAAAGAACTCTTGGTAGAACCTAAGCAGATGGTATGAGATTTAGACATTCAAGCAGACAGAGCCAACTTTCTCATCTCTCATATAGACAAATTGGACTCTCCTCCTGGATATTCCCAATTTTATAAGTTTCCATGCTCCCCACAAAGAATGATCTTCTCCCAGGCCAGTGTAGATATTCCCCTAACATGACTGGCTGTTTGATATGCCAGCTTTCAACCCATGAAGATCAACTTTGCATTCGCTTGAATAGAGAGGATGAGTCTGTTTCACGCATCCTTTTAAAGTGCCTACCATACATGCACTGGCAATCAGAATTAATACATTGGTTCATGAGTCTGATAACATCTACTATGATGAGGAGATTGAAATATTCTTATTAAATTATCAATGCGTGGGTGTTTTCACAGCAGTAGCATTTTTTAAATTTATAGCTTATAGAAACTGTTTGATGCTCTCAACGAGATACTAACTGTATAAGATTCATTTTTTTTCTGTGTGTATGTACTGTTACATATGCATGTATTAGTGGTATTCTGTATTTTAAAATGTTTTGACTTGGACTTAGACCATAAATAGGTGTACAAGATAAAATATAATAATAATAATCTAATAATGTAAGACAAACATATAATTTTAATGAAACTAAAATATATATTGATCGCTCCTGATTCAACATAAGAAAGCCAACTGTTACTTCATACTGAGGTCTAAATTGCCATGTGGTTTTTCAGCACCCTTTCTTATTGTGAAACTATTCTTCATCTGTACAGATGCTTAAACAAACACATTTTTATTTCCTCTGAGAAAATAATATAGACTGCTACAATATTATATTTGTCTATTATATTTGACAATATCACAGATCTGTTAGAGCTCAGGAAATTCCTAATGCTTCTTTATGAACCTGATTCTTTTCCAGCTACAAACTTCAGACTAACTTAGCAAAAAAAATATTTTTTTTACAGTCCTACTGTCTTGGAAATCAAACTGATTGTGACTAGTTCACTGGAAAATCAAACAGAAATTAGGTATTCCCATTTAATTACCTGAATAAGGTGTGTGGTCAAAATTGTTTTCATTTCAAGACATTGTTAATTATGAGCAACATTGACAGGCTGTGAGTCTCCTTGGTTCAGAGTATAGAGATTGAAGACTAGAAATCTCAGGCAACAAAATTAACTTTACAGGTTTTTTAAGGTACGAGGACTTTAAGGGTCCTGGGCTAAATATCATATGCAGATATAGCATTAGGAACTTCCTGAGCTCTAACAGATCTGTGGTATTGTCAAATATGACCACATAATGCAACCACAAAACTAGATGCCTTTATATCCTAACCAGATTTGGAATGACTTCCTTACAGTGTTGTTGTTGTTGTTGTTGTTGTTGCTGTTGTTATTAGTGGAAATCTTAGATTTGAGTAGCAAATCTGAATTCTTCTCTGGTAGATTATCTCTAATAGTTACTGTTTCATAATTTAAAATAATTGAAGGTGATTTATTCTGCATTTTTCATTTTCAATGCATTGCAGTGATTAAATTGGTTTTTAAAAAAGCACTTTATATCTTTAGGACACGGACACACACAAATATATATATTAAAAAGGAAAACAAAAAGTAACACATTTTAAACTAATAATCTATGTATTGTAGATTAAGGTTTTAAAATCTTAGTAATAAAATATAAGAATCCACAGCATGTAACATTTCATCAACCGCAATCAATGTGTAGCCCTCAATGGAACTGCATCTACATGGAGGGAAGTATGCAGTGGGGTACCCCAAGGCTCTTTTTTAGGCCCAGTTCTCTTCAACATCTTCATGAATGATTTGGATGAGGGATAGATGGGGAACTTATCAAATTTGCAGATGACACAAAGATGGCTGGAATAGCCAACAGTCCAGAAGATAGGATTAAGATACAGAAGGATCTTGACCGACTTGAACATTGGGCACTATCTAATAAAATGAAATTCAAGTGAAAAAAGTTAGGTTCTATATTTAGGCAAGAAAAACAAAATGCACAGGTATAGTATATGTGATACCTTGCTCAATAGTACTAACTGTAAGAGCGATCTTCGAGTCTTAGTGGACAATCACTTGAATATGAGCCACCAGTGTGCTGCAGCTGCCAAAAAAGCCAACACAGTTCTAGGCTGCATAAACAGAGGGATAGAATCAAAATCACATGAAGCATTAATACAGCTTTATAATGCCTTGGTAAGGCCACACTTGGAATACTTTTGAGACTCTAGAAAGAGTGCAAAGAAGAGCAACAAAGAGGATTAGAGGACTGGAGACTAAAACATATGAAGTTGCTGGAACTGGGTATGTCTAATTTAATGAAAAGAAGGACTAGGGGAGACATGATAGCAGTCTTCCAATATCTCAGGGGCTGCCACAAAGAGGAGGGAGTCAAGCTATTCTTCAAAGCACCTGAGGGTAGAACAAGAAGCAATGGGTGGAAACTAATCAAGGAGAGAAGCAACTTAGAACTGAGGAGAAATTTCCTGACAGTCAGTATTGTAACTTAAGAATGAAGACAGAGGCTCTGGTTCGGTAACTCTGTAACCAATTTAATATAACAGTAACTATTAACAAAGTATCTCAGGAAGACCGGCTGTGAGCACGGTAGAAACAATTGTAACAAAGATTAGACCGGTAGTCTGTGGAGAATAAACAGCGAAGCAGTTCCAGGTAGACTGGTATGTTCGGCTGCCAGTTGAAGAATCAGTTGACAGTTGGAAGAGCCTGCCTTTATATACCAGCAGCTCGGCAACTGACAGGCATGTCTGATTGGCTAAGACGCGCCTGGCTGCTACCGAGCTGTCATTCGTAACTGTGAGGACTTTCTTTCAGTATACAACAGTCAGAACAATTAATCAGTGGAACAACTTGCCTCCAGAAGTTGTAAATGCTCCAACACTGGAAGTTTTTAAAAAGAGATTGGATAACCATTTGTCTGAAGTGGTGTAGGTAGGGTATCCTACCTAAGCAGGGGAACCCTTCCAACTCTTTTATTCTATTCTATCCTATAAGTATTATTTTATGATACATGAGGTCCTTGATGGGGAACCTATGGCACATGTGCCTGAAGTAGCACACAGAACCATGTTGCCTGGCAAGCCTGGCGTCACCCATTCCTCTTCTGGGTTTCTGGCGCACATGGGTGTGTGACGATCAGCTGGCCTGTGGCAGTGCTGGAAACTGGTAGAGCTGGTCTTCTATTTTCTGGCGTGAGCATATGCACCGGCCAGCAGATCATTGCATGTGTGGCAGTAACCAGAAGACTAGCTGGCCGGTGCATGAAAGTTCATTTTCTGGTGCGCGCATGCCCCCTGTGGCCCAGGCAAGCGTGTGCACGCAAAATGAGTGCATGCACTTCCTTTTCAATACTCAGTGCCAAAAAGGTTTGCCATCTGTTAGATCAGCGCAAAAGGAACAGGCGAGAGGCACAAGTGAACTTCAGCATTTTTATTCAAGGTTACTGTGATAACTCAGGAACTCATTGCCCGGCTTCTCCTGTGGCCACCCCCTCAGCACCCAGTTCAGAACCTTCCATAGGATCTGATATTTGTGCGTGTGCTCTGCAATGTCCCTGGTGGTGACCGGGCTGGCAGGGTCAATGTCTATCAGGAGAACTTGGGCTGTGGGTGCAGGGTCCTCCATGAGCTCTGGTAATGAGTAGCAGATGAGGGCATCGGCGTGGCTGATATCTTTCCTGGGTCAATGTACCAGCTTATAGTCGTACGCAGTGAGGAAGATAGCCCATCTGGTCATCCTCGGGGACATGTATGGAGGGGTCTGTTGGTCTCTGGCAAGAAGCCCCAGCAGGGGTTTGTGGTCGATTATGAGTTCGAAGCACCTGCCATAGACATATTCGTGGAACTGCTTGATCCCTGCCACCGCGGCCAAGACTTCCTTATCTATTTGGCTGTAGTTGTGCTCCACTTGGAATAATAGGCAATCAGTGCTTCCGTCCCGTCTGGCAGGCGATGGCTGAGGACTGCTCCAACTCCGAAGGGGGAGGCATCGCAGGTGATCTGAACCGGCAAGTTGTGGTTGTATTGGATGAGGACACTGTCTGAGGAGAGGAGGTCTTTAACAGCTGCAAATGCTCAGTCTTCCTTCTGTCCCCAGGTCCATAGTGCTGTCTTCCCCAGCAGCTTGTGGAGTGGCTCAGCAACGGTGGCCTTCTGTTGTAAGAAAATACTGTAAACATTCAATAGTCCCAAGAAGGCTTGTGGTTCTGCCTTGTTTTTCGAGGTAGGAGCATTTTTAATGGCCTTCACCTTTCTGTCGGTGAGGTGTATGCCTGACCAATCTATTAGGTAACCTAAGAACTCGACCTGTCTTATGCCGATTTTGCATTTCTTAGGGCTCACTTTGAGTCCCTTTTCCTGGAACCTCTCCAATGTTTTACGCACGCATTCCATCAATTGATCTATAGAGTTCCCTGATATGAACATGTCATTGAAGTATTGCACCACCCCTGGAATTCCCTGTAGCAGACGCTCTATCAAGCACTGAAAAAGTCCTGGAGCTACGCTGACCCCAAACTGCAGCCTAGTGCATTTGAATGCCTCCCTGTGGGTCACTATGGTTTGGGCTTCAGTTGTGGCTTCATCCACTGGCAACTCCTTGTATGCTTGGGCGTGGTCCAGTTTGGTGAATACCTTCCTACTTCCTAGAGAATGCAACAGATGTTGCACCACTGGAACTGGGTGTGGGCTCTGTTGGAGGGCCTTATTCAGTGTGCACTTGTAATTCGCCCAGAGGCAGACTGAACCATCTGGCTTCATGTGGGTGACTATGGGGGTTTCCCATGCCACTTGATTGGTTGGAATGAGAATTCCCTGGGCAATTAACTTATCTAACTGCTCATCTACCTTGGGCTGCATTATGTTTTTTATATTTCTGTTTGTAAGCCGCCCAGAGTCCTTTGGGATTGGGCGGCATATAAAAGCTTTAAATAAATAAATAAATAAATAAATAAATAAATAAATAAATAAATAAATAAATAAATAAATAAATAAATAAATAAATAAATAAATAAATAAATAAATAGGGACCCTTCGGGGTTTGACCCTGATGGGGGTTACATGGGGGCCTGGGTTAAATGAAATGGGTTTCCCCATATATTTACCTAGGCCCCTGTCAAAAATGTCTGCAAACTTCGCCAATAACTGGTCCAAGTCGTGGGTGGTAATTTGGTGCAGGCCAGTGATGTCCAGCCCCAGGGGCTTAAACCATTCCACTCCAAGCAGGGATGGTCGGTGGCTGATGACGACTGTGAGGGGTAGGCGGCCGTGGAACTCATGGAACACCACTTCTACTTCCATTCTGTCCAGCACTGTGTCCATCTCCATCTTACATGGTTTCCCTTCAATGGTGACAACGGCATGATATTTCTCCCCCTCATATGCATCTGAGTGGCCAGCGGTGGTGTGATGGATCTCTCTGGTGGCTTGGTAGTGTTCTTCCCTCCATCTGTTCCGCTGCTGGCTCGCTCTTGGGTTGCTTGTTCTTCCCGGTGGTGCTGGTGGCTTTGTCTGGCATGGAAGGGGTTGGGACTCCCTGCAGGCCTCTGCGATGTGACCCTTCATTTGGCAATGGCGGCATGTTGCATCTCGGAAATGGCAAGCTGCTCTTGCGTGGAACCCCATGCAACCTGGGCACTGCGGCTGTCTGTTCTCTGCGTCTCTGGGATTTTGTCGTCTCTTGAGAATACACAGTGGATGGCATCGTCGGTGTCATTCCAGTCATCGTCATACTCTGGGACTTCAGTTGCCCAGTCAGGTTCTCTGTATGTGTGGTGCACCCCGCTGGTCTTCCTCACGTTTGTCGCTGAGTTGTCCGACGACTCGGCCGCTTTGGCTTCCTCGACCACATTCTTAAATGAAACCCCTCTCCTGATCAACCGTTTCTTTTGTAAGAAGAGGTCTCTCATTCTCAGGATGATCCAATCCTTCATCATCTCCTCAGGGTTGATGAATTCACACCTGGTGGTGATTTCCTGTAGGCTGGCAACAAAGTCATTCACGGTTTTCCCCTCTCATTGATGTTGATGATAGAACTCGCTTTAGCTCATCATGGGGGTGGCAGATGGCACATAGTGGTCTTCAAAGGCATGTTGTAGGGTAGTCCAGGCAACATTTTCCACGTCTGTTGGGGCAATCAGCATCTCTGCCATCTTGTAAATTTTGGTGCAGCAATATGTTAGGAACAGTGCACGTTTCCTGTTGTCCGGCAGGTCATGGTAGTCATTGGCTTCCAGGAACATCCTGAAACACCCCATGTATGTGTGCCAGTCTTCCGTCTGTGGGTCTGCTGGTGTGTCTGTGGATCTGCTGGTGTGGGGGATGCTTGCGATGCCATGTTGTGCTAGTGGTTGAGGTTCTTTGTTCTTGATGCAAGACGGCCGTGTGGTCCACAAGAAGATTCTCAGGTCCCTTTGTCATTGACATCAGTGTTAGATCAGTGCAAAAGGAACAGGCAAGAGGCACGAGTGAACTTCAGCACTTTTATTCAAGAAAAAAAGGGAATGCACTCTGCCAGCTGCCGGAACTCATCCTTTAAGGAGCTCTGATAGGCCAGCCGGCCAATGACAGCGATTCAAGTTTCCCGCAGCTTGGGCGGCTAATCCGCAGTCAGCATGCAAATCAATGACGTATGTACATAACACCATCCCTGCATTAGGTGAAGATAATGTACCCTTTTAAAATAAAGCTAATTACTGCTGTAAAGATACAGCTTATAGGTATGGGTTTTATTTTGTTCTGTTTCAATAGCAAATCGTCTCTTCAATAAATTCCAAAATAAATTATTCCCTTTTGCAATACACATTATGTTTAAATGGGAGATGAAACAGGCTACATCCAGATAGAAAATATTCTTGTTTTCTCAGGCAGAAGTTAAATGTTGTTTTGTCATATTTTGTCAAATACCTCTGTATTCCAGATATGGTGCTTGGGTAATGAAACAAAATTTCATATCAACAAGACTGTTGATGCAGCTATCCGGTCCGTAATTATTGGAGGCCTATATCCTGGAATTCAGTACAGAGTGGAAGTTGCAGCAAGTACTAGTGCTGGCACTGGAGTTAAAAGTGAACCACAACCTATAATAATCGGTAAGTGCATGCCTGTGTCCTGCCACTCTGTTTAATGTGATTACATTTTGCTATGCCTTCCGTGAATCCAGACTGAAAATATAAAATGGTATATGGTTGAATAGTTTCTATTTATAATTTTTTCTAAAACTGAAACAGAGAAATGCCTGAATTACTAAAATAAATTACAAACATCAATTATTGTGTGAAAATAACATTGCATTATGAATTTTTCACTTCACCAGTTTGATAGATTTATAGAATCGCTAACAAAATCTTTCTCCTCTGTCTGTTTTGATTACTACATTATTTCCTTATTTATGCTACTGGTGCCCAAGGCCATGTTTAAAGTATGTTATCTGAGCATTTGAGGTTTGCTGTTATCAGTTATTCTGAGCAGATGGTCTCTTCTGTTTTCTGCCAAAATGCAAGGAGGTTTGAATTCAGATAAAGGGAAAAACTGGTAAATGTCTCTCTTTTAAAGTTTTGTTTTTGTTAATCATACTGAATTAATTTCTTGACCTAAGGCAAGCCTAAAACCTTGCCTTAGAATTTTTTCAGTTATATACAATATTGCTTAAAAGTTTGCAAGCCTATTTTAATTGTAAATATTTCTACATAAATATGACCCAAAATGTGATTGTTATCCACACATATCCTAAAAGTATATTTTAAAAACCCAATTAAACATATGAGTCAAAAACTTTATATCTGTTCCTGTTTAATTGAGAAGAATGATCCAAAGCAACTTCTTTTTGTGTGGCAAAAGTATTTGAACCTTTGTTTCAGTAACTAGTCTACACCCTCCCATCAACTTAGGCAGCAATATGTTCAAGTAATATCTTGATAACTGTTGATCAAATCTTGCACATCAGTTTGGAGGCATTTTAAGAACAGCTTCAACTCAGGGGTGCTTGTGGGCTTCCTTGCATGAACTATCCACTTCAATGCTTCCATATCATTTCTTTAGTCAGCACTCTGATCTGACTAAAACATTCCAAAATATTATCTTTGTATGCTTTAACCATCCTTTGTTAATATGATTTGGATGGTTGGGGTTGCATGACCCATTTTCTCTTAAGCTTCATTTCATTATTTCACTAGTACTTCCCTGTAGAATTCAAAATTCATAGTTCCATCTTTGAAGGTAAGCCATCCTGCTCCAAAGGCCAAAAAGCACAGACTCAAACCATGATGCTGTCACTGCCGTGTTTCAAAAATTGGATTTGCTTCTTGTACTGGAATGTAGTATTTACTGTTTTAATTCAAGTCACAAAGTTCTATGTTGGTCTCATTCTCCTACATAACATTCTTCCAATAATTTTCTGGCTTATCCACCAGTCTTTTGCAAACTAGACGGGCAACAATATTCTTTTTGGGGTGTAGTGACTTTCTCTTGGAGCCCTGCCATATACACCATCATTATCCAGTATTCTCCTGGTAATAATCTCACTAAATTCTAACATTATTAATGCAAAAGAGGCCAGTTGTTTATAGCAATAGCAATAGCAATAGCAATAGCAGTAGACTTATATACCGCTTCATAGGCCTTTCAGGCCTCTCTAAGCCTGAAGTTGTGTTTCTTAGATGTTATCCTGGGAATTTTCTGAAACAGTTTGGCTGGTTGACATACTTGAGGAAGGGAAAAATATTGCTGAATTATATCCATTTGTAAGTTAGTAGAGTTCAAACACTTCGGAAAAGGTTTTTAACCCTTTCCAACTTGCTAAGCATCAGTAATTGTTTTTTGTAGGTTCTCAGAAATTTTGGTTGAAGCGTGACATATTTCAACATATCTGGGTTGTGTAGATCAGATTTTGATAGGAATGCTCAGAATTCTGTTCTTTAAATAAGGCAGCTAATAGTCATCCCATTGATTGAAACACTTTAATTTTCTCTTCAAATGAACTGATAATCCTAGAGGTTTGGTCACACATTTTGGCACCTAGAAATATGCAGATTAATGTAATTTTCCTCAATAAATAAAAGAACAAATGTAATGTTTTGTTCATTTGTTTAATTGGATTCTCTTTATTCAATTTTAGGATAAATTTAAGAACAAATCACATATCAGGTCAATGTGCAGAAATATGCAGAGATATTGAAAATTCAAATAGCTCCCAAATTGTTAAGCACCACTGTATCAAAAAATGAAACAAAATAAAAAGTTTAAAGGAAAATACCCAAAATAATTTCAGATGCCTGCTACATTATGTGGGGCACAATCCACATGACCTCTATAAGAGCCAAGGTGAACATTAATATGAGTAGGGATGCTGAGTGCTTGGACAGAAGCATCCTGATAAACCAGTTACCAAGTTGATGAGATGTTTGTGGCATTGGGGTAATAGCTGGTGTTGTTGTCATGGAAGAAGGAGGACAGTGAATAGAAGCCTATTACATTTGAGGAGATAGGGACCAAAAGGAAGTAGGCCATTCTTAGAGAAGACAATTTTAGTGTATTGTATAAGTGCCATGTTCTAGTCCCTGTGCTTGACCCCAATGATTTATAATTGGGTCATCAGTGATCCTGGATTTTGGCTGCTGTTATTGGGTGCCAAATTAGGCTATTTTAAAGTATTCCTCAACTGTGACCCAATATTGAATCAGAAGATTAACTTGGCATGAATCTCTAACATCTGGCTGGATTGTGCCACAATTTACAATCCCAAGGCCAAATGGTAGAATTGCTATAATCATACAAAAGATCTATTAGCTTTCAGAGGTGCTACTGCATTAATAATTGGTTATGAGAATCTTCTGAAGAGCATACGCTTTAGGGATCCTAAATCTCCCTATGTTCAATTACACTGGACTATTTTAATTGGATCTCCAATTTTCCCTTTTTGGTGGAAGATTGTAGAGAACATGGCTAATTGCAGATCCTGGGAGTACTGGACAAATCAGGTTATCTGTACTCTTTTCAGGACTCAGGCCGTAATATAATACTGAAGAAAGCACTAACTGCATTTCTTGATGATCTTTGGAGAAACTGCAAGGGTAAGGATTCTTCAATCCTGGCCTTCCTTCATCTCTCAATAGTCTTTGATATCATCCAATACAATATCCTTCTGGACTGGCTTCATGGGCTAAATGTGGGAGACACACTGTTATATTAGTTCTCTTTCCTTTAGACTGGTTAGTTTATTTGTATTGAAAAAAGTTCTAGCTCTGGATCTGTAGTATCTCTGGACCTATTTAACATCCACCTGAAGCCACTTGGTGAAGTCATCCATCAGCATGGGTTCCAGTAGCTGTAATATGCTAATAAAACTTATTTATACATCTCACTAGACTTCCCACGTAATGCCCAAGCTATTGAAGTGCAATTATTAAGTTGCCCATCTCACCTCATGCCTCCTTTTCAAAAAAATTGAAAACAACAATATCACTTTAAAAAGAAATCTGCAGTTAAAACATGTAGGTAAATAGTAATCATAATCAGAACTACAACCCTTTCAAGGACTCTTCCATGCACAGAACTCCAAGTTTGGTGATGCAACCATGTGTTTAAAGATTTACAGAAGGCCAGCAAATTCAAGCTGATCTTATATTTGGAGGGAAGATGTTCCAAAGTAGGCACTATGACAGAAAAAGCTACCTTCCTGGGCCCTGCCTAATGACATTCCCTAGTAGATGGGAATACCTGATGGGATATTTAGATGCAATAGGAGAGAAGTGATATTTTCAATAATACTGACTGTACATTGTGGTTATAAGGATAGAGAATGTTCTTAGTTTTGGCTTCACTCCCAGAACACCAAATTGTATGTTTAGGTTTCCCAGTTCTGGATTTGCATTCCTCCTGGCAGAACTGATAACCAGTTGGATCCTTTTTTTGGATTCTTACCTATAAAAGCAAGTGGAAGAAAAAGCCAAGAGAGACTTTATATAAATCCTTCTAGATAAAGTATTGTTGGACCATATAATTCTTGAAACAATTATTTATTCCTAGTAACTAATAATAAAACCAAAATCCAATAGGTGACTTTATTGGGAGCTAAAACTATACTGCAAGATAGAGATTCATTCAATTAACCTAGTGCTCAGTTCTATATGAGAAGCAGGGTGAACTCTATTTCTAGAGACATCATATTCCAAAATTGTGGGAGTGGGTGGGTTATTAATGAGAAAGCTTGATTCATCCTCATCTTATGCATTTCATCTTGAAAGATGAAATTTCAGCTGGCCACTAAATGACAGAATAGGTCAAGTCAGAAATGTAGTGGCAGCCACTGCAGTAATCTTAACTCTTACTATAGCAACATTTGCCATTTAGTTTAGCTAAGGAGCAAGGTGTCTCGTGTGATTAGGATACTGGGTTGGAGGTTAGCAAGCCAGCATTTGAGACCCAAATGTTGGTATGTGGCAGGGTGAGGTCCCATCATTTGCTCCAGCTCCTTGATGGGGACATGAAAGGAGCCCCCACAGGCATGGTCCAGGCAACAGTGATGTCACCAGTTAATCTTTTCAACTTGGAAGCACCTTGAACAATGCTTCCGATACGAACAAGAAAGACAAGATGGAGATTAGTTTGGCTGCCTTATTCTGTAGCAAATTTTGTGCTTCTGAAACAACTTCTTATATAATGTGTTGCAGTAATCCAACTGCAAAGTGATAAAACCATGAGTTACTGTTGCAAGAGCTATCTAATCCAGGTACAGCAATAAAGTAGAGTGGGACAAAAGTCTCTAACAACAAACTCTATCTGCGATTTATCTAGCAGGCTCTTCAGATAACAGATGAATTATTTTGGGGAGAGTACAATCACATCAAGAAAAATAACACACACACACACACACACACACACACACACACACACACACATATATATATATATATATATATATATATATATATATATATATATATATAT